GTAAGTTAGTTATTAAAATTTTGCTAAATTGATTTCCAGAATTATATTATAAACTCAAGTAAGAAATATCCAAAACTCATCACATCCTAGTTATTTTACATTTTATTATTAGCTATGCTCTGGAGGTTATTTATATAGAATCCATCTGTATGGTAGAAAAAATGCATAATGGTTCACTTTACATTCCTTCCCATCTCTACATTAAGTGACACCCAGTTGAAGCTTGACATTGGCAATGATGGAAGTGTTTATATGATGGAAACTGTCAAATACCTTTTCTGAGCCAATAAGATAACACAGAAGTTTTTCTGAGACTTGGATCAGAAGTAGGGCCTTTTTCCTGTTAGGCGTGGACCCAAGAGGATATGAAGTCTGGCACACTGGCAGACATCCTGCTAATGTGAGGAGTAGCCTCCAGTGAGGATGGAGCCAACATAACAACAGATAGATGCAAGAGATAGTGGTAAACCAATGCCTGATGCCGTGGCGTGAGCCCTATTTCCTTCAGTATCTGATCCCATTCCTAGCCCTAGACTTTTGATTAAGTGAACCAATAAATTCCTTTTGTGTTTAAGCTATTTTGGATTGAATTTTTATAATTAAAAGCAGCCAAAAGGATACAGTAGAATTTGCATAGGTCCAGAATTACTCCTAGCCATCAAAAAGGCTTGACTGATAAAAAATAACTTAGAAGGATGGTAATTCTCTTGACCTCAATCTAATACTGTTCTTATATTATAATTCTGTGTTTGACAAACACATATTTACTTTATTTAAGGGTTTAATAAGGCTTACATATATCATTTCCCTTGCAGGCTGAGATCAGGTCTTACCAATGAGAACTTAGACTGAGAGGCATTCTTCTCAGGCTATCTAACAGCTACTCTGCCCTATCCTCCTCTTCCTTGATATTGAAAAGTTTTTTATTTTGGGGGGCAAAGCCCCAGAAAATGAGTCATGATTTTCTAACCCCCTCACAGTCATCCCATCATCCTTGACCAGACACAGTTGACCCTTGAACACCTTGCAGGGTAAGGGATACCAACACCCTCAAACTTGAAAATCTGCATTTAACTTTCAATTCTGCAGTAGGCCCTGCAGAGTTGATATTCATTTAACCCACAAAGAGCCAAGTGTATTTACTGAAAAAATAAATCCATGTGTAACTGGACCCATGAAGTTCAAAGCTGTGTTGTTTAAGGGTCCACTGTACTTGTTTTCAAGTGTAGGCATAGGTTAGCATGTTTGTTTGTGTCTTATTTTTTAATGAAAAAAGTCTAAAAAGTAAAAAGAATTAAGTCTATAGAATAAGGATGTAAAGAAAGAAAATATTGTTGTACAGCTGTATGATGTGTTTTAAGCTGCGTTACTATAAAAAAGTTGAAAAGTTAAAAAATTAAAAGTTTACAAAATAAACAAGTTGTGGGAGGCTAAAGTTAATTTGTTATTGAAGAAAAATACTTTTTTACAAACTCAGAGTGGCCTAAGTGGACAGTGTTTATAAAGTCTACAGTCATGTACAGTTATGTCCTAGGCCTTCACATTCACTCACCACTCACTCACTCACTCACTCAGAGCAACCTCCAGTCCTGCACGGTCCCTTCATGGTAAGTGCCCTATACAAGTGCCCCATTGTATTTGTACTGTAGCTTTTCCATGTTTAGATATGTTTAAATAAATAAACACTATTGTTACAATTATCTACAGTATTTAGTATAGTAATATGCTGTATAAACTTATCTCCTAGGAGTAATAGGCTATATCATATAGCCTAGGTGTGTAGTAGGTGGTACCATCTAGATTTGTGTAAGAGCATTCTATAGTGTTCACACAACAATTAAATGGCCTAAAGACATATTTCTCAGAAAGTATCTCCGCCATGAAATGGTGCATGATTGTACTAGTGCATAAAAAGTGCTCAGAAATAGTCTGTGTTAATAAGTCCCCATAGAATTATCTGGTCTTGATTTAATTTTATTTCCAATTTTAAAATTACTTTCTATGAAATGCAACCCTGTTGCCCAGCCTCTGGATTTATTTCCAGTCTACAAAGATGCTCTTAATATTCCAAGTTATTTGCAAACAGAAAACCAAAAAGTTACTATGTTTTCCAGCCACATATTTACCTATTTAGACATTTGCCAGCACAGTATTCAACAGAAGTCTGAGAATAATGTGACATGACTTAAAACAAAGAAGGAAAGATGTCAAACTGAACCAATACACAGCATGAACCTTCTTTTCAGGCTCACATAGAGTAACAACATAATTTTTCTTAGTATTCAAGGTCATCTTGACCTAATTTAATCCTTAACTGTATATCATAAACACTTATTTTTTTGGAAGAAGATTTCCAGGCTACACAGAGAAATGTCAAACTTAATCTATCAGAGCTTTAGAATTATCAGGAGAGATGGAAAATACAGTAAAAACAAAATTACTTATTTTTATAGGCTACACTTTGTAATTACATAGCAAGAGATGAGAAATTCTTCCCTTGATATAATGGCTATCTTACATGTATTTTTATTTATTTCCAAGAATTACAAGGGGAACTAACAGCTTCAAAGTATTCTAAAGAAATGGTTTTAAATGATCAAATATCTTGAAAGCATATCGCATCTGTGTGTGATACACATAGTCTCTTAAAATTTTTTAAAAATAAGGTTAGCAAACTACAGCCTATCAGCCAATTCTGGTCCATCATCTCTTTTTGTACTTCTTTAAGCTATGAATGGTTTTTATATTTTTAAGTGATTAAAGAAAAAATTAAAAGAAGAATAACATTTTATGATATGTAAAAATGATCTTAAATCCAAATTTTAGTGTTCATAAACAAAGTTTAATTGGAGCATAGCCCACCCATTTGTTATAGATTGGCTTCATTCATGCCACAGTGGCAGAGTTGAGTAGTTGTGCAAAGCCTAAAGTATCTGGCCTCTGGCCCGTTCCGGAGAAAGTTTGCCAACCTTTAAGAGCTTTCCCCTAAAGACACACTGAGGACCTGGCTGGTGTGTCTCAGTTGGTTAGTGTTGTCCCATAACTGGAAGGTTGCAGGTTCGATTCCCAGTCAGGGCACATGCCTAGGTTGTGAGTTCAATCCCTGGTCCAGGCACAGGTACATGCGACTTCTCCTGCATCCCCCACCCCGGACACAGAAAATTCCTAGTCTGGCACTGATCCCCAGTCTGGGCATGTACAGGCGTGTTGTGCTGATCACATGATGGTTCTCTCTCCCTTCCTTTTTCTCTCTAAAAGCAATGAAAAAAATGTTTTTGGGTGAGGCTAAAAAAAAAAATTAAAAGAAAAAGAAACACTGAGGCATTTCATAAACTGAAGACTTCTTCACAGAGATTTCTTGTGTCAGTGACACATCACGTTTAAAGAAATAAAAGAAAATGAACAAGTTTAGTAAAGATAATACAGTTACCATATCACAAAATAAAATAACTGACATGCCTTTATTAGGTTTAGAATGTTTCTTTCCCACTTTATGCCAGTGTAGCATAATTATTAAGAACATGCATTATAGGGTCATTTTTTTTTCCTTGAATTTTGATTAGCTTTCTGTGATCTTAACCTCTCATAAGGCTTGGGTTTCCTATAAAAACAGAGTGATAATGGTGCCAATGACATGAAATTATGGTGGTATTAAGTGGGGTGATTTCTTTTGAAAGGTATATTTAGCTCAGCACCTGGCACATAGTAGGTGTGCAATAAATTTTTTAATAATTATCATCATCATCTGGAAATGTCACTTTCTAACCAGAAGTGATTGTCAGCTCCTGGTACTGCCAATATAACTTGTGTTTTGACAAGGAAATCCATAAAGACCCTACTTTGGTAATGTTATATGGCGAAGAGTCCCTCTCTCTGTATTATCTGCAGAAACACTGTCCCAGGTGCATGAATCAAGCATGTATTTGACAGGAAAGTGGAAAAAGGGAGGCCTAGAATATCTAGAAACAAAAATCACAGGGACAAAAAGTGTCAGAAGGCTGGTTAGCAGCTGGATTACGCTAGTGAATAGAAAGTTGGGATTTTCCACACGAGACTCCATTCCAACTTTTTCTATGGGGAGTCCACAGTTCTGTGACAGCCTATTGAGGAAAACTCTTTTGTTTAGTAGCTAAAGTCTTTTTTGAGAATTTTGATCATTTTATCCATTTTATGTTAGGTTAACATGGCCATTTTGTTTGTATGACTTAGCTGATGTTTCCAAACAGATATGCTCCTAGAAAATCATGAGGGAGTAATGCTGCAATTCTTGGAAAGTTAGTGATTTCCTTCCTACCAGTTTTGCTGCTATCTCCTGCCTGAGCTTCCTTGGCCCTTAGAAACATGATGACTCAACTAAGCAGGCAAACCAGAGACCAGCAAACACGTGATTCCTCAGCTGTGATGCTACCTCCTTTTTCTTTCCTTGTCTCTAAATAGGTTGTGACTGCTGAGGCAGTCTCTTTTGCTCACCAGGGGTGGTCTGGAGTCAATTGTTAAATGGCATGATGAGGAGAACCTTCTTTAGCTGCCCTCAGAGAACTAATCTCTGCCTGAAGACAGCTTCCCCCTGAAGAAAAATCCCCCATGACAAACAACTCTTTCATCTCCTCATCCCCGAAAATCATTTACAGAAATATCAAAATTCCAGAAGGCAGTAGATATCCCACATTGTAGCCACAAAACAGTTTCTATAGGTCTGCTTCCTTTTTGGAAAAACAAATGACATAAAACAGTTTGTACAAATCTTACTTTACTTCCTGCATTTTGCATTTTGACATATTGTTTTCAGGAAAATCCCTCCAGATTTTATCCTTGTTTCTCAATTACGGTAGAACAATTCTGGTATATTGGGTTTAGTCACTCAAAGGAAGAACAAAATATTTCAGCATTTTAACATAATCTAGTTGGAATCATGGTGAAGAAGACAAATACAAACACCCACACATAAACCTATGTGTAAGGATAAAACCCAAAACTGTAATGCTCACACTCATGCCTGTGAGGGGAATGGGGTGGGGTGGCCTCTGTTTACTGGTAGGAGTAGCTCTCATCATCGTATTCCAGCTGATCTTCATCATCATCATCCAGCAGCCCATACTTAAATTTCCGGTAGACAGTGCCATCTTGGCCCATGTAGACTATGTCATCATCGTCATCCTCATCATAGTCGCGGTCCCTGTACTCAATCACCTGATCCTCTTCAAAGCTGGTGCTCTCGCGATAGTTGCTCTTATAGGAGGAATAAGACTTGCTAGGGTCAGCCAGTTTTTCATAGCCTGACTTCTCTGCTGGCTGGGCTTGGCCCCGTGATTTCCTCCAGATGATCACAGCTACCCCAAGCAGAAGCACCAGCATAACGGAAGAGCTGATGAGCAAGGCTGTTTTGGAATGCTCAGGAGCAGACTCACTCTCGCTTGCTGGAAGGATGCACTCATCTGGTGGAAGATCCCCAAAGGAAGAGGGGAGAGAGAAAAGATGAGAGGGAAAAGACATAATGGGAAAAATTAGTTTCTGATGTTAAGAACTTCACATTTATCTTTTAAATCGAAAATGGTAGCATCACTCTCTGATTTTCTTAAAAGGCACACACCACTCTGCAGAGCTGTGGTGTGTACTACATGAGAGTCCCAGTCTATGTCAAATGATGCCATCAAACCCTTCTGGAATGAATGTCGGTCTGAGATCCAAAGGGAGCCCCCTGCATTCCCATACCTCATGGGTCAATTGCTAAGTGTCCAACTTTACCAATTCATTCTTCTATTTCTCTCCTAAGAAAAATATTCCGTCTTGGGCCATGAATCAGTAAATGCCAAATAAATAACTTAGACTTTTGCTAAGACTTGAGATCTCTCTGTAGCTACTCTTAAATTTGGTCCAACATGATTGTACCATCATTCCAAGACAGAGAAGATTATTTATGAAAACATTGACTCATTTCTGTGTGGAACCTTAGATTTATTCAAGTTAACCTGTTGCTTGACAGTTGAGAAACTGAGACCCACAGAGAGAAGTGAATTTTCACATTGTTAGAGCCAAGAGCTTGTTTGTGGAGCAATCAGAATTTGGACTCAGGAATTCTAACTTCATGATATAGTCTGGAGATGTTAGGATAAAACACTGACAACTCTTTTGACTTCTTGGCATTCTGTGACTCTAATCTAGGGGGAGAGAAGTATCACCTTTATTTCTTCTATCATAATGAAGATTGCTAAGGTTGAGAGCTCTGCCCATCACTCATCAGCCTCTGTTTTGATGCCTTACCTGAGAACATAGACTAACCAAAACTATCAAAATAGGAAAGATTCAACGGTAACTTCAGCAATGAGTTCATTTTACTTACTTTTCACCCACTTATTCAGGTGGTAGGCCTTGAGTAAGTTACCTAATTTTTCCCCTCTTTTTTAACACACCAAATGGGAGTGTAAAAGGAAGTATAAAAGAACGAGAGAAAAAAACTAGCAGGCCATGTTGAACGTACAAGCTGAAATACACACTGTTTTCCATAAATATTTTTGAACCATCTGAGTCTGCCTCCAGGATTATTTTATGAGAGATTCTAGGTATATTGTACATACTAGCTTAATGATATAATACTCCTGCCAATTATTTTAAGGGCAATTATTTTTCGTATTAGATATCGGCTGGTTATGTCTGATTCATCACCAGTATATCTTTCTCTTTTTGCTAGGGATAAAAAAGTTTTTTATTTTATTGCAACTTTCATTCTCATGGGATTTGGTCCATTAAGCTAGTTTCTCCTTCTAAAGTAACAGCACTATCATTATGGCTTTCATTAGCAATATAGCACAGAATTTTTCCCTGGAGGAAATATTAAATCACCAGAGGGATGGATAAGCAATCGGTGTGTGGTACTTGGAGAAAAATACTTCCTGAGGCAGGAGAATCAATAAAAGACCTTTTGAGGTTGGTTCAATCACTAGGGCGCCATATGCAATCATGCCTTACTGCCCTACAGTCTTAGGTCTGCAGAGTCAGGTGTGGCCTCTGTGATCCGGCCTCAGTAAAGAATGAATAGGTAATCAAGAGTGTTTAGACTTTTGCAGAGTTGCCCCAGGTGGATGTCTGAGAGCCACAGAAGGCCCAGGAAAGCTAACTAGTTTTTAATAGGAACAGGCTTACAGAAAATCTGCACCCAACATGCACACATTTCTGGTTTCATTTAAGGCCATCAGTGCAATTAGGGTTATTATTCTTCACTGACACAGCATGAGTATTAGGCAATCAGACCCGGAAGGTGGATGTATATGAGGAGCTGGGAAAATCAGCTCTTTATGGGGGTGGGAAACCTGAAAGGAGTAAATCATTAATTTTTGGAAAGATGCTATTTAGAATTTAACTGAAAAGGCTGATTAAAAAATAAAATAGAAATGGCTGGTAGCAGTTATGGATTGAGGATCTACTTCATTTATAAATGAACATGCTCCCATAAATATGACATGTGTTTTTGTCAGGCCACGATACATCTGAACCCCAAGGAAATGATCTACCTCTGGACTAGAGGATTTATTTTAAGAATTTATTTTTAGACATGGCTTGCCTCCTCCCACAACTACATCAAAATTACAACTAAAATATAGAAAAACCATCACTCAGAACCATTGGAAATTGAGTTGAATGGAAATCTGACAACTAGGGAATTAAAGAAACCACATCCATCCAGATTGATAAGTAGGGTGCAGATGTGTAATGGGCTGGTCCCACGCCCACATGTGGTGGGTAAAAATTCAGGAGGGATATCTTGAGAGGCAGGAGTCCCAGTCCCACACCAGGCTCCCCAGCCCAGGGTTGGAGTGCGAGGAAGGTAAGCCCCCACAACTTCTGGCTGCAAAAACCAGAGGGGATTGTGTTGGTGGAAGAAACTTCCGGAGTCCCCAAGCAGTTCCTCTTAAGGAACCGATACACAGACTTGCTCAGACTCATTCCGTCTGAGCTCCAGCACTGGGGTAGCAGCTTGAAAGGCATCAGTGGCATACAGGGAGGAACTGAAGTGCCTGACGTCAAGGCAAGCAGAGGCCATTGTCCCTTTTCTGAACCCTCCCTGCACAGAGCCACAGAGCCACAGAGCCTGAAGGTTGGTGCCATATCTGAGACTCCATCAACCCAGCACTAGAAGTAGTCAGCCTAGATTCACAGCTTAGCTTTGCCTGGGAACCTCCAAGCCCAGCACAAGTAGCAGCCATCTCAGATGGCTTTATACTCAGGCACTGTGGCCCTGGGCAGTACACAGGTGGGGGTTGACTTTGGGCTGCACCACCCTGTAAACCCCAGAGCCTGTGCACTCAGTGGACAGCTACAGGTCACATCGGAGCACCACTACCCTGCCCCTGCACAGTTTATCCTCCACAGAAGACCAGAGACAGAATCATGGATACGGAGAGCATTTTGATGGTAGCCAGATGTGAGGTGGGTGTGGGGGAATGGGTGAAGAGGTGAGGGGTTAAGAAATACAAATGAGTAGTTACAGAGCAGCCATACACAGAGATACATAGAGATGTAGAGTACAGTATAGGAAATGGGGCAGCCAAAGAACCTATACGCATGATCCATGGACATGAACAATGGCATGGGGATTGCATGAGGAAGTGGGGGATGCTGGGTAGAAGGGGGCAAAGAAGGAAAAATTGGGACAACTGTAATAGCATCATCAATAAAATATAATTAAAAACAAAAAAAAAAAGGATTTATTTTTTAAGAAAAATTGATTCCATTTGGAACATTTCTAAGTTTGTGGCCAATGAGGAACAAATACCCATATGGGTAAAGCTGGGGGTGGGAGACATTTGAAGGGCTGGGAACTGCTTAAAAATGTTTGTTTCTTCTTAACCTTCAATGAAAGTTCATTTCTAAAATGCTTTAGGTCTCTAATGGGAAGGCTAGATTTGGGCTGATTTCCATAGAATGATTCTTCCAGATAATATTGGCATCAGCTTCCTTAATAGTTGAGTCTTTTCCTTTTTTTCTCAGAATTGAAGAATTAAAAAAGAAAGGCACAAAGGAAATTTGTAAAGATAAAATTCTAGGCCTACTCAAGCTCTAATGTTGGAGGCAGCACAGCAGTGGAAAGAATGCAGGCTTTGCAGACCAGAGGACCCATATTCTAATTCCAGCCTCTTAACATTGGTGTGGACTTGGGCATGCTCATCAAGCCCTTTGAGCCTCAGTTTCCTCAGGTATAAAACGGGATTAATAACATCTTCTTATATGAGATGATGGACAGAAAGTTATAAGTACAGTAGGCAGGCACGTAGCAGGTACTCAATAAAATGGTAGTCATACTGAGTTTCCAGAACTTTCTATTCTTCTCTCCCTCCTGCTTCCATCCGCTTCCTGAGGATACGCCCTGCTTCTGCAGGCTGCCTTCCTCTCCCCTCACCTGTGGAATCCTGGCAGTCACAGCACTCCTGGGCGTTGCTGGGATCGGAGGTATTACAACAGTGCAGGCAGCGCCCTTCATCCATGAGCAGCAGCAGGTTGGAGGGGCACACGGTACAGTTCTTGGCACCAGGTCCTTTGCATTCTACACAGCTCTCATGGCATTTTTCACAGTTAAATTTCTCCCCCTGTTAAGAACAATCAGGGGATTTCTTTTGAATGAGGAGGGATTTTCAAGGCCCTAGAGATCCCAGATAGGAGTTCTATCTTATCTCCATAAGGAAGGGAGGAATATGGGGGACAAGAGAAAGGTAACCCATTCTGGATGAAAGACAGAGCCAGCTCTCAGCACTTGGATGGAATCATTGCTGGGAATCATTCCCTCTGAGATTCCCCTGATGGCATACTGGGAGAACAGGCCTCAGGAACAGCTCAGGCTGCAAACTGACAGCTCAGGCTGTACCTGGTCAAGGACAAGTTTTATCTGGCCCATTTTATATTGACCTTCATGGATTAAATTTTTTTCATTCATTGCCCACATTTCAAAGTTGGGGTATCCCACACGTAAATTCACCATTCCCACATGGGAATGGCACTCTTGTATTTGATACTTTCCTATTTGATCTAGCTAGGGGCGGCCAACGTTTTGGCATCTCTGAGCCCCATTGGAAGAAGAGTTGTCTTTGGCCACACGCTAAATACACAAACACTAAAAAAAAACTGATGAGCAAATAAAAGATATTGAGTAAATTGATGATTTTGTGTTGGGCCGCATCCATCACCACTCTGGGCTATGAGGGCTGGACACCCCTGCCACTTGCTCTGATGTCAACACATAGGTGAAACATCAAATTCCACTTTTCATCAAGCTTGCCCTGGGGTTTTCTTTGAAAGCACCTTTGACTCATTACCTACTTGGCCTCTGTCCCAGAGTAATATAAGTTATGATTGTTTAACTAAAGCAGTTCAATCTCAATCAGAAGGGGATTGAGAGACGAGGAGAAACTGACAAGTTCCTCTTTCACTGGTGCTAGAAATGTACATGAGGAAAGATAGCTTCCCATTTCACTTCTTCACTTTGGAAAGATGGTATCATAGAAAAAGAAAGAAAGGACATGGTCTTTTCTTGAGCACTTTGGCATGTTCTAGGCACTGACAAAGTGTTTTCTCAACTATTATTATCTCATCCAATCCTGGATTAGGAGTCAGAATTCCTGGGTTCAATCGCAGCTTTGTTATAACACTTACTATTCTTGTGGTCTTTACCAATTATTTAATCTCTCTGAACCTCATTTTCACCAAAGTGTAATGAGGGCTAATGTCAGAATTTAAAGAGAGCTCATATGTGAGTATGTTGGGTCATGTTCACTTCACCATGAAAGAGTTCTTCAATGTCTGAAGTTTGGAAACACAATCAAGAAGTTAGTGGATTCAGAAATCCACGGTTTCTAGGCAAACAAATGAAAATATATCTTAATACACTATGAAGAGGTAGAGGACATGAAAAAAACAACATCAGTTATGCAGTTCTCACATTATTCAGATATTTCAGGTTATAAAGCAATGGGATAAGAAAGAAGATATTTCTCATTTCTGACATAATGTTCCTATGTAGGCTTGAAACTTCTAAGGTCATGAGCAATGAATGTAGATTTAATTTTGAGGCCCTCATTACTTAACTTCCTCATTGTTTATTCCATATCTTCTCTATTCCTTTGATTGAAGTTAAAGCTACAGGTAAATAGCATCTTTAACCTCTAATGCAACAGCAGATTTTAAAACATTACACCTGCACTACAGAAAGTATAGGAATTTTAGGACTTTTTTTTAACTTTTCCCAGAATGACACACAGAAACTAGTTCATTTCCCTCTGTGCGGTGGCAGTAGGCGCACCATGCCCAGCACTCAGTACCTCTCCCACTCTGTATTGCCCCACAAGACAGTCTGAGATGCAGATTCCTCCCAGGAGGTGGTAACTCCACACGCACGATAAGCACTTCAGTGGCTCTTTTCCTGAAAGAAAAAAAAATGATTCTAAATTATGAGACTGACCTTGAATTTTTGCCTTTGTCTTGGTTCCAGAACACTTAGGAACAAGGAATATGTCAAGTAAATTGAAACAGGAGGGTGAATTGATTGAGGATATGAAAAAAGTCTATGAGATACCAAGTGAAGACTTAGAAATTATCCATTTAATTCAATCAATATAAACTTTACATTTGGGAATTGAGCATCTGGACATGACAGATCTTTTATTAAAGCAAGAGGATTTTCAGAGAATGAGAAATCATATAGAACATTTATAAAACCTTCAATTGTCATTCTGCTTATTTTCAGCTTGTATAGAGGACAAGGATGAATACAGGCTGATTTTGGGTGTCCCAAAACTCAGCAACTAACTCATGATTAGGCAGTTCTTAACTGAGAAACACCAGACTTGAAACTTAAAATGCTGGGGCTAAAAGAATTTTTAAAATATATTTTTAAAAAAAGATTGCATTTCTTTATTTTTAGAGAGAGAAGGGAATGGAAGGAGATAAAGAGGGAGAGAGACATCGATGTGTGAGAGAAGCCACATCAGCCAGAGCAAGGGCTAAAAGAATTTAACAGATCAGTTTGTCCAATGGTTCTTAATTATGGGAGTGATAGTTTCCTTTGAAATTCTCTTGCAAATGATATACTCTCTTTTCAGAAATGTAGCATCCTATTTGATTATTATTTTTAAAATAAAACTAAGGCCCAGACATGTGAAATCACTCATTCAAGGTTACATAGGTAATAGTTGAGTCGTGATTCAAATTCGGGTTTGTTGACTCACGTTCCAGCACTTTATCTATCCTACTATCTACTTTAGCACATGGACCACTACGTAGAAGCCTAGATTTATAGACTCTCTTTCCTGTGGAGGTAATCCCCCTCTCTCCTAATTCAGAGACGCATAGAATGGCTGACCCAAACATTTCTTTCCATGCAGCTATCAAGGGATAACTTCTGGGAAGAGTTTGGAGACAGAAGACCTGAGTTCTAGCTCATTCTCTTAGGAAGGCCCTGACATTTTTGCTGAGAATCTCAAAACAAGGATAGAGACAGACAGAACAACAATGTGCCTAGTACTGTGACTTGGAACTTGTATATGTATTCTAATCAGAAGAATATTATTGTAAAAAGTGGTTAGTTAAACTCGAACTAGAACTGTTAAGTCCTGTCCTGCAAATTCACTATGGAGTTAACATTTCATGTCTAATCTGTGAGCTCAATCATTTATAATGTTTCCCTGGAAAATGAGTTTTGAGCTATAAACAACATCTTAGAGAATAAACCTTTATTACTAAACTGCTTCTTTCCTTGAGGCTGTCTGTAGTGATAGAAATTAAAAGCCATTCTATTTTTATTTTATTTTTAGCTTCATACAGAATCTCCTACAAGTCCGAATCAGAACTGTAGTCTTTGATGAACAAATTAATCTTCCTCTACTTCCTTCCTTCCTACCCTACATGTTTCTAAAATACAGCTTACATGTCTTACTTGTCTTACTCCAGTTTTAAAATACAGAGGTGTGGGGTTTGGTTTGATTTTTGTTTTCTTTATGAAGAGAAATTAAGGGTAGGAAAACTTAAAAATTAAAAGAGGAAAAAATGTTAGGTTACAAAATGTGTACCTTAAGATTGGTTATGTTTTTCAGAAGACCAGCAATAATTTGGCTGAGGCTTGGATCCTGGACAATCCCCAAGAGTACTACCTGTCACCTTGAGTAACAAATCACTAACTCCATTTACATCTCCTCTATTGATTTATTGCAAATCCTCCACACTTAGGACACAAAGAGTCTTTTGCAAAAGACAATTTGTAAGTTTCCAGAATGTTTTCTATTGTTTTCAAGTTTAACATCCTACATTTATCATTGCTTCTAAGGATCTGCAGGAGCCTTGGGGCCTATAAAGACGGGTTTGGTATTTCCTTAAAATTCAGAACAGCTCACCATCTGCTCTCCCTTGGACTGACCCCCATTGGAGGAATTCACCAATGAATTCATTGAGCAACCTCCTGGGAGCTGTTCATGGCATTATTCACACAGAGGGAGAAAGCTCAGGAGAGTTAGGAGGGTTTGGCTTCTCAGCCTGGATTTTCATTTCAAACAATTTTGTAAGGAGGATAGATAAAAAGTGTAAATGTGTAAAGGCAAGAAATGAGCTAATTATGGGAAAACCAGTTGCATACAAATGTACATACATATGAAGCCTTGGTGTGCTATCCCCCTGGTCCTGCCTCCCAGTAGCTCAGTGCTTTTCAACTTTTTTAAAATACCCTAATATTATTAGGGAGTCAAATGTGAATAAACTACAATCTAGCTGACAAATTACTTAAGCACGTTGCTAAATTTTCCTTTTATCTTTCATGCTAATGTTTTAAGAAGAAAGGAATTCATACTTTTTTCAAGCAGCATATATAGCTCAAGAGAGAACCTGTCCCCAGATTTTGTGCACTCGAAGTCCACAGTTTACATTAGGGTTCATTCTTGGTGTTGTACATTCTATGAATTTGGATAAATGTATAATGACATATATCCACTGTTATGGTATCATACAATGTTTTCACTGCCTTAAAATCTCCTGTGCTTGGCCTGCCGTCTTTATCCCCTGCCCCTGGCAACCACTGATCTTTTCTACTGTCTCCATAGTTCTGCCTTTTCCAGAATGTCATGTAGTTGGAATCATATACTATGTAACCTTTTCAGATTGGCCTCTTTCACTTAGTAGGAAGCATTCTAGTTTCCTCCACATGCTTTTATGGCTCAGTAGTTTGTATCTCTTTAGTCCTGAATAGCATGGTCTGGATGTATTGATAAGTGTTTGGGACTAGAAAACCATCATCCTTAATCTGCCCAGGAAAGCCCAAACCCAATTAAACTTATACTTTTTTACAACACCATATGTACAACATCACTAATAATTTCTTTAATCCCCGTGAAACTCTTAAAAAGCTGGTGTTCTGTTTTGATTGAATGACATTAATGATGGTTGCCTGATCTAGATTAGAAACCCAGTTTCCTCCTCTTACCCCCACTAGCCGACTGCTCTGTTGGGATTACAGTTTTCAGAGTTAGCAAATGAAAATATAATATTTTATCTGGCAATCCTAGTTGGAAAAAAGCCCCACACATTCAGTAATGCTGATACCGAAGGTTCCTTCAACTTTTCAAAAAACCTAATAGAAAGCCAATATTTGCCACGATATGGCCAATGACAATATGCAAACTTTCCACCCCCTACCTCACCCTCAATGCAATGTGATCTCTCATTTGTTATCTTATTCTGGTGAGAAGTTTTGAGCAGCAACTGTATGCGGTGCTGGAATGAAAAAAAAAAACCAAACAAAAACACCCCACAAATTAATGATTACTTAAGGCAGATTGTTTGGAAGGGAAATTATTTCAAAAGCTGCGGTTGCAAATAGTGAAGGGTGTGACCCACTGTTTGTAGAGTTTCCTTGGTGTTGCCTCAAGGACTGCCTGGAAGTGGTGGGGCAGGTAAACGCAGGGCATGAGGTGGGACTCTAGGATCCCTCCTGTGTTCCACCCTGAGCAGCTCTTTCTTGGTCAATTTTCATAATAGAATTCAGGCTAAGATGTCATCTGTAAACATCATCTGAAACCACTGTTCTAAATTAGAGATGTGTTATCTCATACAGTAGCCAATAGAGCACTTGAAACGTGGTTAACCTGCAACTTGAGTTGTGCTGTAAATGTAAAATAAACATCAGACTTAAATACTTAGAACAAAAAAAGGATGTAAAATTTCTCCATCAATTTTATGTTGTTTAATGTTCAAATGATAATATTTTGATGTTAAAATATATGAAATCCATTTTATCTGTTTTCTTAAAGTGTGACTACTAAAAATTTTAAAATTATATGTATGGCTTGTGTTATATTTTTATTGGATACTGCTGAAAACACCATGCTGTGAGATATGTAAAAGAAATTCTAGGACTGGTTTGAATAGCACATGACCACAGGACCATTCCCAGGGTAGTGTAGATTGTTCACTAGTCTAAGCACTTTCTAGCTAAGAGACATTTTAGAAAATATTTTACTTTAAATATTTTTTAAATATTTAGATATTTAAAAATAGATAGGGGGGAAGGGAGGGAGAAAGAGGGAGAGAAATATTGATGTGTAAGAGACATATAGACAGGTTGTGTCTCACAGCCCCTGACTGGGGGCCTGTCCCGCGACCCAGGCATGTGCTCTGAAGGGGAATCAAACCAGTGACCCTTCGGTTTGCAGGCCGGCATTCAAGCTACTGAGCCACACCAGATGCAGCTAGTTAAGAGTAATTTAACATTTATATTACTGAGAGTTACTCGCTCCAGTTTTTCCCCCCTTCTCAGTATGGAGACATTTCTTTCGATTATGGCTGCAACCAGCAGAGGAAAGTGGGCCTGTGACTCTGGCCGCATTTTTCAGAGAAATGCAGGGCTCATAGCCCAGGACAGGCCAAGGCAGCTCCGTGGCAGAAGATCCAGACCAACCGCTCTGCCGCTCCCAGTCAGCCCAAGGGACTGAGGGCTCCTCTGAGCCAGCAGCACCTTCCCCTCTTCCGCCAGCCTTCTGTCGCCTCCCCGTTCGACATGGGCTCCCCTGCTGCTTCAGCTGGGGAAGGGCCACACTGATGGTCACCTTTGTGATGGGCTCGAGGTGGGGGCCAGACAGAGGGCACAGCTCCGCTGTCTGAGACTAGTCGGGGACTGGGGAAGCAGCTGCCATAGCTGGGGTGTTGGGCCGCCTTGGGGCTCTGCCTGAGTCCCAGGCCACTGCCGTGTGGGTGGGAGCTCATGGCTGTCCCCACAGGATCCCAGCAGGTGGGAATGATCCCCCTGCCTGGTGCTGCCACCGGCTGCCCAGGCACCCCTGATGGGACCCGCCGCCTCGATCGGCCCCTGAGACAGTGCTCAGTGCTAGAAATACAAACGTAAGACATACATTTGTACCTTTGATGACGACCTCGGTCTCCGGGGTGGGACAAAGATAAAATAAACCATTACAAAATACGCTTTCTGGGCTGCAGGGATTCTGTCTTGTCCACAGCTGTACGGACATTGTCTGGGCCATCATGGTGGGTAAATACTTGCTGAATTAATCAACAGATGGATGAACACAGAGTGGATGTTGTTAGGGAAGGCTTTCTAAAGGAAATGCTGACTATAAAATTTGTATAGGAAAAGGGCTAGAAATAGCCAACAAAATTTTTTAAAAAGGATAACAGGACTGCACCCTACCAGCTACCAATATTAACCTTGTAAGTTTTAACAATTGAAATATTGTAGGAGGTAGTGACGTAAGAAATCTCCAAGCCTGTAGAGAATTTTTATGAGTTTATTTGAGCCAAACTGATGACAACTGGAGCGAAGCAAAATCTCAATGGACTGAGAAAATGCTCTGGAGAATGGCAGTTTGGCAGTTTATTTTATACATTAGAATAAAAGGAAGAAATGCAAGGAGAGTTACACGAAATCCACTGGTGATAGTTAAGGGTGTAGGAGAAAGCAAAGTGGGGCAATCTCTGGGGTTGGATAAAAAGGAAAAATAGAGAAACACACTTCTTTTACGTGGGTGGGTACAGGATAGTTAATAATTAACATTTACAGCACATGAGATGATGTTTGTGGAATAAGATAACAATGAGGGGTTCCGTGGTCCCCTGCAGGGAGCTGGTGCCTTGAGGAGTCTGGAAAAGAAGATTCTTCTGACATTGCAAAGTTACGTTATCTTAGATGCAAAAAGACAATAGAGAGGCTCACTTAAAGACTGACCTTTGTCAAGGAACAGAGGGCGAGAACATGACCACCCGTTATGACTCTCCTTTAGTTAGGAATTCTTATATTCAGACCATCCTATGTGGTTACTTTCAGTCTCTGAGTTTGTAGGACCCTCCCTGCAGGCCTCCCCTGAGCTAGTCAGGCTTCGGATGTGGCCCCTTTTTCATCTACAGAAGTGCTTCTTTCCTGAATGTCGAAAGGTGATCATGATCATATTTATGTGTCAAACTATGAAAGGAAATGAACAGATATGGGTTTTATAAAGATCACTCTGGCACTATTGGACAGGATGAACTGGGGGGAGAGCGCAAGACCAGAGCCAGGGTGTCGTGCTGGCTGCTTCAGAAAGTCAGCGGGAGATACTGAGAAGGGAGAAGGAGGAGAACAAAAATGCGGAAAGATACCTGAGTAGAGAAATGCTTAGGAGAGAGAATGTGTAGGACAGACAGTTAACAGACCTTGAAGTTTACCATTGTTGAAGGGCAGGTGGGCTGGACAGGAGGCGAGCGGTAGATATCTTCAAGGTTTCAAACCTGGGCAGTTGGTTGGACAGCGGATCCATTAACAGAAAGAGTGAGTGTCAGAGGAAACCCAGATTGTGCTTGCTCTGGGACATATTGATTTAAAGGGCAGATAAGTAGGTATCTGGAAACTAGGAATGGAGCTTGGGAGAGTTAGAAGCAGACATCTTCAGTAGCTGTTGAAGTAATGAAAATGTAGTAAAGTTCACTAGGTAGAAGATTGCATGCTCAACAGGTGGAGAAGGAAGACAGACTAGGTGTAAAACACTTCCAGGGGAGATGATACCTGTGTCTGGGTCTTGAAGGCTGGAGGCTGGGAAGAGGCAGCAGTGTAGCCTGGGTCAGAGGGCGGTGCAGGAGCAGAGAGAGAATACAGGGGGTGCTGACACGCAAGAGGATTGGTTATGAGGTTGGTGAGCAAGAGGAGCCACCACAGGGGGTGGAAAAAAAGAGAGGAGCTAAGCAGGAAGGAAAACTTTGTACTTTTCCATTCACACATGCAAAATGACAGGTATACCCTTACCTTCGCATTCGTGGCAAGTCGGATGGCATCTCTCACAGGTCTTTGTCCTTTGATCTGCATAGTAGCGCTCTGGGCAGGTGCGAAGACACTCTCCCTTGGAGTGGAGCAGAAAGAAAAACGTATCGCAAGTCAGGCAGTCGGTGGGCCGCGGGCCCCGGCAGGCCTTGCAGCTCTTGTTGCACCTCTCACACCGTCCAGTGGAGTTTTCCGCATAATATCTGCAACCAAGGAGGGAAGCAAAGACTGAATTCTAAGCGTTGCTCCTAAATTGGGTGTGGTGGAAAAACCATGGTTCGTCACACAGTGTTCATTTATAAGCTAGATGAATTTAGATTCTTTACTCATTACCTTTACTCATTAGATTTATTACTAACTATATTAATAAATCTAATGATTCTTCATTTTCTTATCTGTAAATTGGGCATTATAATCTCCCCCTGATATTTGTGAGGATTAAGTTAGACAACACACATGAAAGGACCTGTTCTTATCATATGTAGCAGTGCCACAATAATGATTAGCTATCTTTGCCTTCTATATATGCATGTGCTTTTCCACTTGAAAGATTCAAGCTTTAAGTTGTGTTGAATGGGATCAGAGAATGGAAGACATTTTAAATGTGCCTCTGAGTGGTTCTTCTAATTTCTCAATTTAAAAACCATCTTGAAATAGAAGGCGACATAAGTGATGTTGATGTTTTCATAGGAATAGATGTAACTTCTATTGAAAAGATTTTTGTAGGCTAAACATAACAGTATTCACTGTTCATTAAGTTTCTACTATATACCTGATAGTACACTAGAAACTTTATCAACTTAATATTTCATCTTATTGAACCTAAAAATGAAACACTAGAGTGTGGCACTTAGGAGCTTGCCCTTTGAAACAAGGTTACATGGGGTCAAAGCCCAACCATATCACTAATGAGCAATGTGACCCAGGGCAAGTTGCACAACCTCTTTGTGTCTCAGGTCTGTAATATGGGATTATTGTAAGTAACTACAATTAAACAACTTATTACTGAGAAACTTGTTAGAACAGTGCCCAACACATTATGAGTAAATAATGTATATTAGTGATAATTATGAATGATATCCTTAATATTATATAGCAATATTATCTTATTAATATTCATATGAGTATTTAGTCCTCATAGTAAATCTTATGACATTTGTATTTTACATATGTAAAACCTGGGGCTCAAAGAATTTAGACAATTTGCTTAAGGTGAGATAGCTAGTAAAGTGGAAAATGTGATTGGAGCTTATCTGTTAAATGCTACTATAACAAAGCAGTGCATTATGGGAAGGTAAATTTTAAAAAAATGCACATAAGATAGAAGAGAGAAAAGGAATCATTGTCAAAGATGAACTTGTAGGGGGTCATCTGAGCCTTCTTGGCATCTCTGGACATCTGCACACTGAAGCTCTCCTAGAAACCCAAAGGTTCCATCCTCGGTTTCTATGGCACAATATTATTGAGCCCAGTAGTCTTTTTTTTTTTTTTTTAAAGATTTATTTTAATTCTACTAACTTGTTGAAAACTATGCCATGGCTACATAATGCTGAGCGTGCCTCTACCTAGCCACCTGGCACTGATCTGAGTGAGTACATTTGTACTTCAGTGGCCCAGCCTGTGGCAAATGAAGCCTTGTTTGATCTTTCTGCAGTTTGGTGAAGAACAGTTACTGAAGAACAATTACAATGAGTCACTTGTTGGGAACCGTCCCACCTGTTTTCAGGGACTGTAGCCTCACAGGTAGGCAAGAGGGCCCCAAGGCTGGAGCTGAGAAAAGAGGCCTTGGGAAAATAGGCCACTCAGGAGACAAAACCTGCCTCCCTGGCAGGGGCACAGCTCCTGCCTCCCTCACATCAGCTTGTTTGGCCCCGGAGGATGGCTGATTAGTCAATGACGGGTAAGACCCCTCAATGGCAGGGGCAGCCTAAGACAGGCACAGGTGCATAGGAACCGTCATGGGAACGACATGGGGGACACAGAGAAGGGGAAAAAGACCCTCACCCCTCAGCTTTGATATGGCAGGAGTCCTCTTTCTATCTGAAAGGAGTCTCCTTATCTCTTGGTGGCTCTGCCCCACCCACCTAGCTCAGGCTTGAAACAATACTAAAGGCAGGTACAGCCCTAAACTGGATTGGGTGGTTCCCGGGGACAATTAGGCCTGGGAAAGGAATGCATTAAGTCCCCTGAGACTTACTTTGCTAAGAATGCCCTCGGGTTAATGACTACTGATATTTGGGCTTGAGCATAGAATGTGATCAGTTATCCAGAATGGGTGCCACCCTGTCTACCAGACACTGACCTGAGGCAAATCTCTTGTGTTCCTTCACTTGTTATCTATTTGTTTTCTGTAAACATAACCTTTTGACATTGATTGATGAGCTTTACATCCCTGCTGCATACCCTTGCCCGTACGGTTCTCCATAAGAGCCACTTCAAGAGAACGGCTCGGGGCCTTCTCCACTAAAGGGAATTGCTACCCCTTCCCCTGGCAGACTGAGAGAAAAGTGTCTGGGAAGACTTATTTTATTTCCCCATCCATGACAACCTGGAGCGTACTCTGTGGGACCAGAGTCCACCCTCCACCTCAGTCACTCAGTAAAATTCTTAGGTATTTGAGAGAGAAGATTATGAGAGAACAAAGGAAAGCACCAACCATGAACTGAATAGTTGATAAAGATCATATAGGATTCACAAGAGAAAGCAGCAGGGAAAAGTGAAAAGAATGGAGGGAATAGACAGGATTGAAGCCAGAAGACATGATTTTTGATTTTAACTCCATCATGTGTAAGTAGCTGTGTGACTTTTTCAACCTCTTTGATCCTGGCTTTCCTCATCTGTGAAGTGGAGAGAATATCAACCTCATAGAATAGTTGTAGAATCAAATCATAATGTAAAGATACGTAGTGAGTGGAAATACTATGTAAACTGTAAAGCAGCCTACAAAACGTTCTTTACTAATGTTATGAAGACAAAAATAATCAATAGGACCCCAATGGAACAAAAGCACATCAATATCAAGTAGGTTTTAAAAATTATCAAAGGGTAATGCTATGACGGACAAAGACTTAACCTGGGGTGCTGAACACACTATACATTGGTCCGATGATGTGTTGTAGAACTGCGAACATGAAACCTGTATAATTTTGTTAACTAGTGTCACCCCAATAAGTTAAGTTTAAAAAAGGGTGATAACTAAAAGAAAATGGAGAGTTTATTGGATCAGATTAAAAGAAGAGTACAGTGTCACCGATTACTTTGATGACGTTTTTGCATTAGGTGGCTGTGAAATCTCTTGAGCCTGATCTTGTGCATAAATACATACAGTAATTGGGACCTTTAAAATCCTGCTCTGAGGTCAAACACTAAAATAATTGTGTGTGTTGGGAATGGGTGCAGAGAATTACATGCATGCCTTCCCAAGGCAAAGAGATTTAACATACGAAGTTTGTGCAATGCATGTGCATTATTGATTTTACAAGAGGAACAATTTCAGTTAAATATCTCCACTTATACCTTATTAACACCCTATTTTCTCCATTGAAAAGATTTATGACAATCTATGCCTCCCTTCCCAATGGGCTACTTCACATACCGTGGAACAATTGTCTTCTTAATTCCATGGTCTGTGATCTATTTAGATTATACTCCCTTTCTTGTGCATAACAATATTGAATGACTCAATTTGAGGAAGATGGTGATTCTTTAAATGGGATCCAGATTTTTTTCAGGCATTTATTAGGATGGAGGGGAGGGGTGAAGCCAAGCAGCCCCATCCCCTCTCTTGTCTGTTAAGGCCCTTTCTTTGTTGATCTATATGGCTCGTGTGTTTTGAGGGCTGCTAATGTGTACGTTTCTGTGCTGAGTCTTGTAGAAATATGTGAGAATTAGAGGTGTTTTTCTTCGAGGAGCTTGTCATTTTTTTAGTAGGGCTATGTAAGAAGAATAAGTTCCGGAAGGTTAAGGTCTTTGACTTACTCATCGTATACATACAAGGTGTTCTTCACTAAGCATATGTTGAATGAATGACCAAATGAATGAGGTAAATCGAAACACAAGCCAGTGTATTATACTAAAATGAGTCCTACAAGGAGCGATTGCTATGGAACTGAAGAGAAGTGCCAATTGGGCAAAAGCATTTGTGGAAAGTTTAAGGTTACAGCTTTTCAATTTGGGTCTGAAAACTCTCAGTGCTCTAGGTTACTTGTTGGGAAGGAAGAGTTAGCAAAAGACCTATAATCAATCCTTCTCTTTACTGGAGATGCCTAAGGGTAAAATAGGGATGACCCAGTCAAATCATCTTCTAAATATGCTTGTCAGCAGACTTTCTGATAACTATGCTAATAGTTTTTCCTCATTGAAAAATAATAGTTCTTATTTGTGAAATGCTCTTAGAAGGATACACCTTCTAAAAGTGTTTAGGTTGCCTATGATAACTAAACCTTAATTTGTGGGTTTAAGGAGCATGGCAGGTTAGTGAATTAGTGGAGAGTTTAATGGAAATATTTAACTGGAATTATTCTTTCTGTGAAAGCAATGTTGCACATACATTGCTTAGACCTCACATATTAAGTGAAATCCGAATAAATCTGAATGCAGAAGAGAAAGAAACTATATTCATGGTCTTGGATTTCCCGAAGGGAAGAATGCTTCACAGAAGAATGCTAGTGACTGCTCGTAACCTTTGAATTATTAGTGAAGTTTGGCATGTGAGTCTGATCTGACAATCTGACCCTTTTCGTTCTCTCATTGGGTCACTGGCCTCTCCTGTTTCCTTTTCCGTTACTCCAAACTGGCAGAAATCCTTCAGACACTGTTAGGCCTGGGTTGGACTCTCATCTTTGTCCTTTACTGGCAGTTAGACTTCAGTCTGGTTATGTAAGATGAGCTTCCTTATCTGCAAAATGAGTTTGCTAATAGTGAGATCTGGAGTAGTGATGGGATTAAATGAGGGAAAAGTGTGTTGAGCAACTTACCCTTCCCTGCACTGGGGCAGGCACTGCTTTCCCAGCTGGAACCAGCCTGGTCGGCAGGAGAGGCACTGCATGCTGTGCCTGCCCTCACATGTTCTGCAAGAGCTGTGGCAGGGGGCACACTGGTGGCCGTCTTCATCAGCGTAGTAGCCCTCGGGGCAGTCCTGCACACAGGTTGTATCTGCCAAGGGAAGAAGAGTCTGCCTTGGTATCAAGTATGACACAAGTCTCCCAAACCTCGTCTATATGCTCCACACTCTCTACCACGGTGCGGGGAGGAGACAGTGGGCTGATGGATATCCTTGGGAACTAAGATGAATATCCAAGAAATAGAATCAACCATAAGGCCATTAGAAGGTGAGAGAAAACAGAAGTCAGAGTAGACTGGCCATGCTGGGCAGGACAGAAACCAGTCTGTCAAAATGAGCGAGAGAATGTATGGGGCCTCCAGGGAGAGAGAGTACATTCGAGGCGGGGGCTGAGCCAGGGCTTCATTGAAGAAAGCGGAAGGTGTAATGGCACCTTCCCACGATTTCAACTTTCTATTCCTAGTCTTGAAGGTATTTCTTTGAATATAATCAGATTTTACACTCAGTTCTGCTGTGCTGTCCGCACACTATGGCTTTTGAAATTTAAGATGAAATAAAATTAAAACTTCAGTTCCTCAGTTGCATGAACACAGACATAAAGCAGTTCTCTCAGGACAGAAAGTTCTATGGACAGTGAGATGCTGTTTTGCCCATGTACTTAACAATTAAAACCTTAAATCCTCTTCCCGGTACAGAGAGTGAACTGGAGTTTAGTTGTTCAGCCCTACACCACCCTGTCCTGCCTTTACCAGTCCTAGTGGAGCCGCTGATTCTTGTCTTTTCTTCTTTCTTAACAACATTTAGGGGTGGGAATTGAGAGTGGTTCAATTAGAAAGCAAAAAATGGAGATTTGCTGGCTTTACAGTTTAGCATGCAGTTCTTAGAGAAAACTTCTTCCAGCTTCAGCGTAACCTCACCGAATGGAAGTTAGGCTCTCCTGCATTGTTAGTGTTGGCCATTGGTCAAGTCTAGGCCAGACCATAAGCCAGTTGTCTCCATAACTCCAGTCAGCATTAAGCATAGGCACTGGTGGAAAAGCTAAATTATGTTAGAGCTGCAGTGAACTCTACCTCTCTACTGGGGGAGACTCTCTGAGATGCTTGATGGCAGGGACATATCATTCTTTCCCAGCATCTAGCACAGGGCCAGGTCCCCATTCAAGGTTTGTTTGGTGGCTATTTTGTTAAAGATGGATGTTGACAGTGGTTCATTGTCCATCTGATGTATCTGGTTAACTAAGGGGAAGCCTTAATCCCTTAAAGATGAAATACTTCTCTATTAGTTTCTTATTGTTGTCATGACATATTACCACAAACTTAATGGCTTAAAATAGTACAATTGTATTATCTGGCAGTTCTGGAGGTCGCATTTCTAAAATGGGTCTGGGGGCTATGTTCCTTGTAGAGACTCTGAGAGAGAATCTGTTTTTGGCCTTTTTCAGCTTCTAGAGACCACCTGTACTCCTTGGCTCATGGCCCCTTCCTTCATCTTCACAGTTCAACCTAGCATCTTCTCTCTCTCTCTCTGTTCCTCTGCGCTGACATCACATAGCCTTGAACGATTAACTTTGGCAGTGCTGCTCCCTCTTATATGGACCCTTATGATAATCCAGGATAATCCTCCCAAATCAAGACTATTAGTTCAATCACACCTGAAAAATCACTTTTGCCATGTTGGGTAACATCCCCCAGGTCTGGGGATTAGGATGTGCACATTTTTAGGGGGTTAGTCTTGTTTTGGGGATGTTGAATATTCAGTCTACCACAACCTCTGGAGGAGTTATCTAGTTTATACCTAGCCTGACCCTTGAGAAGGTAATGGTGAGGGATGGGATGGGAGAATATGAGAAAATCAGGCCTGAGCACATCCTGCACCCTTGGGGGGCTGGGTGCAGGATTACACAGTGTGCACTGTATCATACCTTACAACTGAAGTCAGAGTTCTAGTCTGATTTGTATCCCTAGTTTAAGAGAAGACCACCGTGTGCTGTTAAGACATCTTCCTGTCTGCGTCAGGGCACCTTAGGTGATCACTGGTAGCACTCTAAGTTGAGGATAATTAGAAAAGAAGGTCTTGGTGGTTGGGATGATACAAAGATCTGGAATATTCCTTCTTTTTTTTTTTTTTAAAGATTTCATTTATTTATTTTCAGAGAGAGGGGAGGGGTGGGAGAAAGAAAGGGAGAGAAGCATTGATGTGTGAGAGAAACATCAGTTGGCAGCCTCTTGCAAGTCCCCAAAGGGGAACCTGGCCCACAACCCAGGTATGTGCCCTGACAGGGAATTGAACCAGTGAACTCAATCCACTGAGCCACACCAGCCAGGCCATGGAGTGTTCTTATGAAGCAGTAACTTCTGGAAGAAAGTTCACTGAGATCTGTATCAGTGGAGCTAAGATGGATGGGGAGAGAAGACTGATATCTTGGAGTGTTTTCTACTGGGAGGTGGTCAGGGATGGTATGAGGATAGCTACCCCTATGTCTTAGCCGGGGAATGTGCCCTTGCTGATGGCATCTCAACAAGAAGAGGAAAAATTGTCAAGTATTTTTACTCTGAGTGTCTTGCTTCTTAGGTCTGCTCTACTGGGTTGGGGAGATGAATTCTAACATTTTCCAGGTCTTTACCATATTTGTCTCTTTCTTCTCTCTTTCCTACATCCTCTACTGCTCCTTCTTTCAGTTGACTTGAGTTCTGTTTCATTTTGTTTCTCCCATACCTGTTATAAGCCTAGTCATGGTGTCCCTGGAAACCTGAGGACACTGTCTCACATTGGCCATAACCTTCATAGGTGACCTGCTGGAGGAATCCAGCTCCAGACTCTGACATACTGTGTTCAGGAAGATTTGTTAATCAACAGATGCTAAATCAAGGGGAAAAATTTATTTTATCCTCACCTGAGAACTTTTTCTTTTATTGCTTTTAGAGAGAGAGGAACATCAATTGGTTGCTCCCTGTACATGCCCAAACCAAGGGTTGAACCCTCAACCTAGGCATGTACCCTGATTGGAAATCAAACCCACAACCTTTCAGTCATGGGATGACACTCCAACCAACAGAGCCACACTGGCCAGGGCAAGGAGAAATTTTGATGAGGAGCCGAATATCTACATGCTCACAAAGTGTATCCTCACAGACTGCTTTTTTTTAATTGAAAGGGAAAACAGTAACTGCAAAGTGGAGAAATTGGACAGTACCCTGAACAGATAACCAAAATTAACATCACTGAGGAGAATCATGTAAACATGATGTATCTTCAAAAGGACACAGCATCACCTATGCAGTATTCCTTTGTGGAAGTGTGTCGGATTAAAGGAGGCTAAGGAGATGTGGCATCTAAATGTCGTGACTGTAGACTGGATCCTGCTCTAAAGGGGAATTGACACGTTTATAACACGGATGGTATACTAAAGTATTGTATAAATGTTAAATTACTAGGGTTGACGACTCTAGTTGCTGTGGTTATGTAAGGAAGCATCCCTATTCTTAGGAAGTAAATACAGACTAAAGTATTTGTGGGAAAAGGGCCATGAGGTATGTAACACATCCTCAAATGATTCACAAAAAATTTATTGTGAGTTATGTATACATATACATGGAGAGAGAGAGGGAATGAGCCCAAGATAATGATAAAGCAAGTGGGGTGAAAGATTAACAAAGATGACGTGGGTAAAGGGCATATGCGTGGTGTTCTTGAACTATTCTCACTCTTCCATCTTTTTTGTAGGTTTGAAACTCTTTCAGACACAAAGTAAAAAGTTAAAAAAGAAAGGCATGCACATCTACTGGGCACCAAGCATCATGAAAGGTAGTTTCCCAGATGGAGGGGTAGACAAAGCCCACCTCAGAGGAAGGTGACTCACTGAGGAGGAGGCTGTGCCTCGGGCAGGTGTGACACTGGTCCTCGGAGGGCCCCGTGCAGCGGGAGCACTTCATGTGGCAGGGCTGGCACCTCAGAGCCTCTGCATCCCAGTAGTCGGAGGAGGCGCATTCCTTGTGAGGCACGCAGCCCCCATGGTTGTTCAGCTGCAGGCCTTCCAGACAGGCAGTACAGGCTCCAAATGCTGAGCAGGACTGGCAGGACCTGGGGCAATCTGTGGGCAGGGCGGGGCAGCAGACAGAGTGAGAGCAGGCCAGGGCACCCTGCTAGGGAGTCAGTTCCCCTGGAAAGTGCAGTCACAGGCCTTCCTCGTTTCTTCCAGAGATTTCTAGAGCGCTCCGCCATGGGCTGGGAGCCATGAGTTGGGTACAGCTCTTGGGCTCTGGGTTGAGCATTCTTCTTGCAAAATGAGAAGAAATGGCTGTTTTGCATTCTCTGTAATAATCACAGAGTCCCTTTCTGCACCAGCCACCTCAGAAATATTAGTAAGACTCATTATAATTACCCAAACTGCAACAAAATAATAATAAGCAATTCTGCAGCAGAATGGCCACACACTGGCTTGCGGCCTTTTTACCAATGTATTGCAGTAATTACCCTCAAACTCTCACTGTGTTTACTGGGCCTGTCTCTGAATATGGATCTTGTGTTTGTTTGGAGGCAACACTGGGGGTTAAATCACCACTGTCTGATTCATTGGAATACATCCTGTGACTATAGTTAACAATACTGTATTGCACACTCAAAAGTTGCTAAGAGGATCGATCTGAAATGTTCTTACCAAAACAAAAAAAAGGTCATGATTTCTTAATACGTATGTGTATTAAATCATCACACTGTATACTTTAAACCTTCACAATGTTATATGTTAATTATATCTTCATAAAACTGGGGAAAGAGTTGCTTTCCCCAGCATGCCTCTCTCACTTGCTTGAGAATTCCTTTAGTAATAGGCAATTTATTAAAAATTCTGTTCTCTGAAATCAAATAAGAGGCAAAGAATTCATGCCCAGTTAAAACATAAGGAGGCATAAATAATAGCAGATTCTTTTTGCTATTCAGCTGAAGTGCTGAGTGGGAGATGGGCCAGGGGACCCAGGGCAGGAAGAGCTGGGCTGATGCTGCGGGAAGGGGGGAGCTTCAGGGAGGCACACGACAAAGGGGGGCAGGAGGTGCCGAGAAAATCCTCTGTGGCACGGCTCTCCGTGCGCTGCCTTGAACTTTTGACAGCTTAAAGTTTGAAGAAAAATTTTTCATTTTTGGTCACTTTTGAGGACTCATCCTCTCCTGTAAATCTTCACGTGAGAATCCTTTTTGATCAGCCACTGTTGTGATGAGAGCCACCAAGATTCATGGTCGATAAAAGGGATATGATCAAAACGAATGAATGATTCACTTAAAGAAATAATAAATTAGAGCAGATTCGAAATATGAAGGAAAGAGGTGGGACAGCAGTTCTGGGGCTGGAACTGTGCGAACCCCAGATCCAAACCCGTCCTGATGGAAAGCCATAAGCCCATTAGGCTCCCTGGGATTTGGTGCTCAGCCGTGTACCCCAATGTCTTTACCTTTGCAATCCTTAGTCTTTTTTTCATAGTAAGTTCCTGATGGACACTTGTCCAAACACCGCTTGTCATACAAAACAAAGGATGGCTGAGCACAGATTTCACAGTCGTCGGCTGAAGGGCCACTGCACTCCAGACAGTCTTCGTGGCAGGGAAGACATTGGCGTGCGTCCGCGTAGAAGTTGGTGGGACAGGCCTCATGGCACGTATCCTTGTACAGGAAGGATCCAGGCATGCACTCTGGGGACAGGGGAAACAGCAGTTACCCCCTGGGAGACAGGAGAAAGGAATTCATTCCTTCCACAGTGTCTAGCCCACCCCCCACTTTTGGCTCATTTGACCTGTGTATACATTTGCCCCATCTCCACTCAGCCAGAGCACATCCATGCCCCCAAAGCCCTGCCTTTGGATTGGAGACCGCATATGGAGGCCCATTTAGATGATGTGGGGTCTACATCCTCAAATGATCCGCCCCTTGGAGGTACGAAAGACTGTGGGGCTGTGGCAGAGGAGTGATGGCTGAGATGCTGGAGGTATTGTTCCAAAACCCCTGAAAGCTTAACAGATTTTTCAAGTTGTATCGAGCACCTCAGGCTTTATTTAATACAAAAAGCAATTTAGGAACTCTTGGATTAATTTTTCATTTACTGATAGGGCAGACCACTGAAATATACATGGTTAATCAGTATGAAAAATGCATTGTGAGTTTGTGTTTGTGCCCTTATTTTGAATAAACACTTTATGCCAAGGGAACTCTTTGGATAGGATAGCACCAATTGCATGAGTCTGCCTTACTCTGAAGAGGAAATTAGCCTTTCCTGGGAGATAATTCCAGAGGAAATATTCTTAGCTGGAGTGTTATTCTTAGAGTTAGCAATACCGTACAGTACAGTCGCAGGATTCACCTGGGACAGTGCTTGGCATACCCTAAGTGCTCAGTACACACGTGTGGAAGGAATCATGCAAAAGGTGCTCTTGTCTGTCTTAACTCACAGGATCCATAATGGAAAGGCTTTATCTCACCCTCACTTTCCTCAGTGATGTGCTCAGAGGTAGATAAACTTCAGTAAAGGTAGGGAGACTGGTTCCCCCAGTTCTGCTTGACACCCTGCCCTCAGTTGGCCCCCAGCTAGGGTGGCTTGGCAGAGCCACGCTTTCCCCTGGGATGCTCCCAGGTACCTTTGCATGTTTTCTCATGGATGCACTCCTGACACATCTCTGGGCAATGCTTGCACACCCCTTCCACAGCCACGTGCCTCTCATGGCAGGTTTCCTGGCACGTTCCGTGGTCCAGGACGAGGCTTCCTACACAGGAGTGACAGTTGGTGGCATTTCCTTCACATGTTTCACAAGGAGGGCTACAGTGTCTACATATGCCGCTGTCTGCATAGAAGCCCCTGTGAGGAGAGGAGAGAGCAACTTGGGAAGCCTTTCAAGTAAAAAAAAAAATAATAATAATTCGCACCTGGTGGCAGAGAAATTAGAACTGAAAACAAAGAACTATTGCTCTTCTTGACCAAAACGAATTCATCAGATTTCCTGAGTAAGTATGGTCAAAAATCAAGTCTGGAAAAATAAGATAAAAGGGATAGATATCATCTTTGGGAATTTGGTTTGTTTGAAAACAAATTGGGTTAATTTGTGTAAACCTTAATCATCTGATTTCTCTATTTTTATCTGCCAAATTTTATTTCTTTTCTTTTGTCTATGTTAGAGTAGAAAATGCTTTTTATTCAATTTAATACATTTTAAAATAAAAATTCAATTTAATGAATTCAAGAAATTTCATTCAAAAGGCTCAAAAGATTAAATGCCCTATAAAATTGGAAGCACTTTTTTTTTTTTTTAAACTTTTGGATGTTCTGAGCCAACCTTTCATGACTTTTTTCAAAAACACATAGAGCATTTGCACACAGCATCAAATATTTGGAGCAGTGCTATTGGAGTATATGTTGTATGATTGACTTCTTCCATGTGGAATCTGATGTCTGTATACATTGTACCTCTGAATGATTTAACTGTCACACCATAGAAATCACTCACTCATGTGTGAACACAGTAAATATGAAAAACTCCAACCCTCTCAAATATATTTGGGAGATGAGAGAAGTATAGACAATGTTTCTTCAAAGGGAAAAGCTGGAACTTGCAGAAGTGGTAAAACCATAAACCAATTTAAAGATCATGGTTTTCTGAGGTCCCAGGTACCCTTTCCCGCTGTCTTCTAGAATTATCCTTCTGTTAGTCAGCTATCACCCTAATAGTGCTGTGTAACAAAACAGCCCAAACTCATTGCCACTCATATATCTGTAGGCTGGGCAAAGAGGCATATGTGACTGTATAGGAAGAACTCAGGCACGCACTCTGGAGAAAGGAGGCTTGACTTCAAGCTGCACAAAGAGTGTAGGTCTTCACTTCCCTTGATTCTCCCTGGCACAGGGGACTAGTGAGACATGTTTTTCTCTAGCCTTGACAGAAGTAAAGGAAGGCAAGTTCAACAAGGCAAACACATTGTAAGTTTCAGCTTCTCTTCTGCTATCAGCTCATTGGCTAAAGCAAGTTAAATAACCCAGCCCAAAGTCAAGGGTCAGGGAGTCCATTCTACCTCTCATGGAGGTTGCTACAAAGTTACAGGCAGAGGGCACAGATAAGGGAGGAGTGAAGAATTGCAGCAAATAATTTAATCTACTAGAGACCTCTTTGAATCCTAAAGCCGATAAAGGGACTGTAAAGCATCTTTACTTGATGCTTTAATTAATTCATTCAATCACATCCATGTAATCATACTTTCAGTCACTGATTTCTTGTATTTTTTTTAGTAAAGAAAAATATCTTGAATGTGTCAGGAAGAAACAGGTCAGGGTTGAAGAAAAGTCACCTTTCTAATGTGGTTTCAAGAAAGAAAGAGTGGAGAAAAGCAGTTTAGGTCGAGGAGGGGGAACTACGTAGTGTTCAAATGAAAGCTAAGACCCAGCTTCCTTACGCACCTTGGGCCATGATGGAGAACACCGGAAGAACAAAGACACTGCTACTTTGTTTAGCCAAGTCAATCTCTTAAAAAGGAGTTTGACACGACAGTGGGTAGAGATGTATTATATGCTTACGAAGAGTTTGACTAAATTTGAGAAATGTGCAATTAAGGAAATTTAGTATATTCTCAAACATACCCAATCTTCTACCTGAAGGAGAATGTGGTGGATTCCTTGTCCCTATGTGTGTAGTGAAGAACCCTGCCTGATCCAGAGAGAGCCCGGGCCTGTCTTCCTAGCTAACGTCTGAACTCTTGGAATGTTCCATGTGGCAAGAATGTCCGTGCCATCCATTGTTGGTCCCTCCAACCACACCTGATAGCTGATGCTAACAAAATTAGTCGGGGTGGGACTGGCCACACCCTCTGGATTCAGGGTGAGGGCTGGCCTACCTTGAAGGATGAACCTATGTTTAGAGGTTGGGGACTTGGGGCCACGTGATATCTATCACCTAACCTCTGGGAAATTTTTAATGCTAGGCCTGAGCCAGGTCTTTCAAGAATAGCTTCTGGACACCGACAAGCAAATCTATACAGAATTTGAAAAGAGGCAACACAAAGAAACCTTCTTCAGATTTTTCTCGTGAGGGCATCAGTAGAAGTTGGGTGATATGCTAAAAACAAAGGAATGGATTCAAGCGAAAAAGAAAAAAGAAATCCCTACTGAAGATTACTGCTAACTCAAAAATACACAAATCTCAGGAGCTTGTCAGGAGGCAGGCAGATGTCAATGGGAGAAGGTGTTTTCCAGGGAGCCACTTTGCTAAAAGCAGCCTTCACACAGACCTGCCCAGTAATTTGTCTTCCTGTCTTCTCCCTGCATTCACAAAACTTATTTGTGAATGCTTTATTCCACTGTTATTTTTATTTAAGAAGACAGATGTTTCTTTTTAGGGGAAATGGCCACCTGTATTAAATTGCTACATTCAAAGTACTTTAGGTTGAAGTCTTTTGGCTCAGATAAATACATGTAATGTGAAAGCTGTATGGTTCTGGAGCTTTGCCTATATTTTAGGCACCCAAGACAGCAACAGCGCTTAGAGGAAGACTGCTTTTCTTCTACCAGTGCTTCACATCTGTTCATGTTTGGTGAATATGAGTACACCTTAGGTTTTGATTTGTCTTTTAAACAAGCACCATAATGATGTATGTTACTACTTAAACTTTTTTCTTTCATGAATATATACTATAATTGAAAAAGCTATGGCCACTAATGCTGACTTAAAAATAATTCTGGATACCTGAATGCTGTTTCATTGCAGGTTGTGTTCCTGTTATATATCTTATTGCTGTTTCAGGATGGATTGTACCCAAAGGGGGTGATTTCTCAGAAATAGTAACAACTTGAAAATGCTATGCTGTAGAAAGGACCGGTCACAAAAGATCACATTCTGTAGCATTCTATTTATATGAAATATTGAAGAATAGGCAAATCTATAGAGACAGAAAGTAAATCAGTGATTGCTTAGGGCTGGGGGTTATTGGGAGTAACGGCTAAAAGGGTACAGAGTTTCCTTTTTTGGGATGAGGGAAATATTTTAAAAATCAATCATGGCGATGATCGCACAACTGTATAAATATACTAAACACCATTGCATACATTATTTGGTGAATTGTGTGGTATATGAATTATGTCTCCACAAAGTTGTTATTGAGAACAAAGGAACCCCAGTTGGATGAGGATGGGGCCTTGCGCAATGGTGAAACATGGGCTAAAGAGGTTTGGGTTGAATCCTGATCGTTTCATGTGTCAGTTGTGTGTTATTGGCCATACTTTCTCCTTCCCTCATCTGTAAAATGGGGGAAGGGGAAGACTAATAGTATCTGGATAAGAAGATTCGTGTGAGGATTAACGGATCATAGGCTTGCAGTGCTTTGTGCAGTGCTTAAGCGTCACAGACACTCAACAGACAGCTGTTTTTAAATGGTTTCTTTTCCCTTGGAATTTCTTAGCCCTTTGTGGATTTAGGTTCTGAGAAGTATGACAATAATTAATGTAAACTTCCCCTACTGGATTTTAGGCCTTTTGCAGGCTCAGACTTCCTTCATCTGATCTTAACGTAGCTTCCAAAATCAATTCTTACACACTTAGTAGGTGCAAAATATGTATCTGTAGAATAAACTTGAATACAATTGGTTTCTACACTAGATTGGAAGCTTCTTGAGGGTAAGTATCACGACTTGTATTTGAACCCTACAGGGTCTGTCTCAGTAATGGATACAAATAGGTCATTAAGAAATAGGCGCTGTTTTCATCACCAAGTTCTTTGAATCAGCAGGCAAATGAAATTTCTAATTCCTTAAAATAGATTCTGTTGCCTGCTTCCCCAGACTCATTTCTCATCTCCCTCTCTAGTCATCCTGGTGATCAGTGTTTTGATTTTACTTGGGTTTTCAGGGATGAATCTTGTCCAGCCTAAACCGATCCTTTTATTTCCATTCTCCCTGCCAGTGATGTAAGGTGTAAGTAACGCACTCTGGCTAATGAGATGTGGAGAGAAGTCTGAGGAAGTGTCCTTTCCTCTTGAAAAAAAGATGGACTGGGAGAAATGAGTCCTTCCCGTGTCCGGCGGCTACAGCGTGGGGTGGTGACGTGTGGGGGTGGGGGCAGAACGTGGCTCAGGGGGGGACCAGCTAAGGAAGACGGAAGAGCAAAATGGAAAGATTGTGCATTTTAAATAAATTCTTGGCCACTGAAATAACCAATACTGGATTTCTAAACATTTTGTTATGCGAGATAATAAACCGTGTTTTGTGTACTTGGCATTTTTGTGCCTCGTCACCGAGAGTATCCTGATGTACTTTCTCGTTTGCTATTCCCTCTCCCCTTTTATGTAAATCCTGGAAGTGGGATCATCGATAGAAAGAGGAAAGGCATTATAAACCAAGGGACTTAAGAAGCCATGAGGAATCAATAAATAATTAACCAGGCCTTTTCTTTATTACCTTTGATTCATACCTCACCTACTTTAAACAGAAGAGGTTTGTGTGTTCCACAGCCTTACTTTTGTGGTGGGAAAAAGACAACTACTTGGTCATAAAGAGGAGGTAGGAAAACAAAACAATTTTACAAAAGTAAAAATACATGCATACAATCATCACAAGAGAGAAGTGTACACCTGGCATTAAGTTTTTGCTGCTGTGGCCAACAGTCATTTTTGACAGTCAAGAGGGGACGCTCACGCGGGCGCTGTAACCAGGGAGAAGAGTTCTTTGGTGACAGGAAGAAACTGTATCCAAGTTACTGCAGGGGAATGAACACAGCAAAGAGGGAAAGGAAAGGAAACTTACTTAGGGCAGCTGGTGTGGCACCTGCCTTGGTGGAGGAAGAGAGGGTATTCCACCTGAGTCTGGCATCGTTCGCAAACATCGGCCTCAGAGCAAGAGGCGCAGTCCTCTGTGCAGTTCTCACAGCTGCCACTGCTCGCCGAGGCCCACGTGCCTTGGGGACAGGTGGGGGCGCAGGTCTGAGCAAACAGATATGTGCCTAGAAGCCCAAGAAAGAAGGCAGATCAGGCGGTTATCATGTGTCTGCTCTAACAACACACACATCCGTGTAGAGAACTGACCCTTGCAGCAGCTTTTTTTGAACTGCTCCAGAGACCCAAGTATTTCATGGATAACAAAATATGTATTAATGATGCTAAGTCTTGCAGGATGGGTTAAATCTCTAGAAGGGAAATTGACAACAGGAGGCTTTTGCCCTGTTTCCTTTACTTTCCTGCTGATACTGGTGTGGTTCGCTTTGGGGCTTCCCTTTGCCTAGTTAGTCAGTCTGTTAACACCTTCACCTGTCTTCCTGGTGTAAGACAGTTTATACATGCACAGCTTGGTGGAGCCTATTTGGCTTCCTAAAGCCTATCTTGTTAGGACCTAACATCGTAGCAACTCTTTCACCCAACAGAGGGTCTATCTATCTAATCTATCTATCTATTTATTAATTATTGATTGATTTGAGAGGGGGGAGAGAAACATTGCTTTGTTGTTCTGCTTATTTACATATTCATTGGTTGATTCTTCTGTGAGCCCTGACCAGGATCTAACTTGCAAACTTGGCTTATCAGGACGACACTCTAACCAACTGAGCTAATCTGGCTGGGGCAGTCCCTCTATTTTTTTTTTTTTAATTAAAAACAAAATTAGATGGCACCATTATTAAAGAAAAACCATTTGAAAATCACTGTCAACTCCAAAATTCCAAGACAATTTCCTTCCATTTTTGTTTGTAAACTTTTCTATATTGTATGCGTAGAATCATAGCACACCTGTCATTTTAAATTCTGTTGGTTTTGTGTCCCATCCCACTGTTAACATTTGCACATTCCAACATAATGATCATTTTAATGGGAGCATAACATTCTTAATTCTTAACGTTAGTGCCCCATGTTAATAAAGTGTCTCCATAATTCAGGGAAGTTGTTATTTCCGATGTACTGTTTTAATAGACAACAGAGCAATTAATTTGTTAAGATGTTATGTACCGCTCTTGTGTTTTTGCTCTTCTAAATTCAGTACCAGGAATGAAGAAAGGAGTGCTAGGTAGACGCTTTATGCTGACCTAGACTCTCTACTTGAAGTCCCCTTGTTTCCGCCAGTGCACTCTGAAACAGCAGTGGGACCGCTCGAAATGTCCAGTAACCAGACACCTTAGCAATGCTGTGGCCAAAGCAATTGCTAACTTCATTATGCTTTTGGATAAAAAATTTTTTTTTTTGTTTTGGTCCTTTGGAAGCCAGTTTTTGTTGTCAGTCAGTGTTTGGGTCCCAGTGTTGCTCCAGAGTAGCTGCTGTGGTGGGAACATGGGATGGGACTAGATCAAGTCTTACAACCCCCTTACTTAAAGGTGCTAATAAACACGTTACGATGAACCAACGTGGCCACTGCCAACTGCGGTCACTCTCCACACTGACCTTTTGGACATGAAGTGCATGAGGTCGCAGATCCATTGCAGGTTTTACAAGAAGGATGACAAGGTTGGTCCTTTCTCAAAACCTCTGTGTAGGGGAAGAAACAAGAAGTCAGTCTCCTTTGAGCAGGTTCATAGTGTTTACAATGTTGGAAGAGATCTCATGGCTAATCTCATGTCCTTTTCTGCACCAAATAAAATCCCTTCGATGTTGCATTAGCTAAATGTTGGCACCAGGCCTTGGCCTACCATGTGGACTTCCATTATTTTTTCTCTTACTCCTTCATTGACAATTGATTTTTAAGACTTTTTTTGCAAACTTCCAGAGACAGGATAGCTTCCAGTACTAAGGGGCTCTTGGAACTAACACAAGTTACTTCTTTCACATATTAACAATATGTGGGGGTGAGTGTGTGCTTGTGTTTATGCACACATGAACAAGTTTTGAATTAAAGGTAATCACCTATTTCCCCGTGATTCTTAGATGGCCAGTTTTCTTTATGGTGGTAACTGAGAATTCATTGTGTTTTTCATGAAAAACTATTTTCTTTTTGTTCTTTGGAACCAGATTTCATAATTGGTCCACGTTTGAGTCTCTGTATTCTTCAGTGGAGCCATGGTGGAATGCAACCTAAAGTTATCACACCTTAAACTTGTCCCAAATTGTCATTAAATATCACCAAAATGGAGCTGCCCACTGGCTTTCTGGTTGGTCAGGTGATAAGCAGGCCGACCTGGGAAACATTAGAGCTGTTTCCCTCTCTCTTTCCTTTAAGAGCATGTGATGGGCAGGCTTTTCAAGGAAGTCAGCAACTCCATGGGACAGTTTCAAAGACATACATAGTAGCCTCAGTGACATCATTCAAACAGTACACATCAAGATAATGACTCAATTTCAAGGGAAATTTCCCCTGACACAGGAAAATTAGAAAAAGAAGTTCTAGCTCAGACTATGTGATATGAATGACCCTGACCCTCAGTTGGTTTCTACATTGGCATTGCCGTTTCCTTTTTCCCCTTCCCTCCTCCCTCCCTCTCTCCCTCCCTTCCTCTCTCCTCTTTCTTCTCTTTCTGAGAGTCAGTCTGCCAGAGCTGGCTCTTTAGTCATACCTGCCTTCAGATCCCAGCTGTGCTGCTTAGGTAGGGTAACCATGGATACAGTAATTAAAGTCTCAGAGTCCTACTTTTCCATGTCTCTAAAATGAGAGAAGGTGATTCTCCCCTTATAGGGCTGTCGTGAAGACTAAATGAGATAATGTGCGTGAAGTGTGCACATATCCGGTCAGTAAATGGTAGTACCTTCTGCCTCCTCTCTCTTCATTCCTTATTTGTTATCATTCCTCTGCATTTCCAAACCTTTTGTTTAATTTTCCCTCTCTCTTTCCTCTGTCCTATACCTGGAGTGGCACCCGGAGGTATGTCTTAGTTTCCATGGTGGCGCTCATGGTTAACTAGCCGGTGAGCCTTGCTACAAAGAAACTAGATTTAAAGGTAGAGAGGTGGATATGGATGTGGATATAGAGATATACATGATTGTCCATCCTGCCATGCTGAGCGGCAGTCTTTTTTCCTAGTTTGGACAAAAAACTCTGCCCTGGTTTTCTAGCAGACTGACCGACCGATGGACTCTCCACGGGCGAAGGTTGTTAAGAGCCTGATTAGCCCTGGGCAGAGCTAGTGATGGGATTGTTCCAAAAATGGTCCATGTGACTTAACATTATGTCTTCCCTTTAGGCCCTTTTAACCTGACAAATCACTTAACCCCAAAAAGAGGATAGCAGAGAAATGGAGCCACAGTTCTGTTGCTAACGTCAGTTCTCACTAATCAACAGAGAAAAGCAAATCAGAACCACAGTGAGATATCACTCCACCTGTTGGAATGGCTGGTGAGACATGTGAAGAAAGGGAACGTCCCCTGGACTGTTGGTGGAAATGTTAATTGGTGCAGCCACTATAGAAGACTATATGAAGATTCCTCAAAAAATTAAAAATGGAACTACCATATGATCCAGCAATCCCACTTCTGGGTGTATAACGGAAGGAAATGAAATCACTATCTGAAAGAGATACTGGCATACAATGTTCACTGCGGCATTATTTATAATAGCCAAGACACGGAAACAACCCAGGTGTCCATCAATGGATGGATGGATGAAGAAGATACGGTATATACAGGGTGGGGAAAAAGTAGGTTTACAGTTGTGATTACACAAAAAAGATTTTATTCTTGTGCTATTTATTAATTTTGTATTATCCATATGAATGACTGTAAACCAACTTTTGCTCCACCCTGTATATGCAATGGAATATTATTCAGCCATAAAAAGGAGATCCTGCCATTTTCAACAACATGGATGAAACTTGTGGGCTTTATGCTAAAAGAAATACAGAGAAAAACAAATACTGTGTGATCTCACTTTATATGGAATCTTAAAAAACCCAAACTCATAGAAACAGAGTAGATTGGTGGTTGCCAGGACCTGGGGTGGAGGAGGTGGTGGAGGGAATGGATGAAGGTGGCAAAGGGTACAAACTTCCAGTTATAAGATGGATTAATTCTTGGGATATAAGGTTACCATGGTGACTGTAGTTAAAAATACTGTATTGTCTAATTGAAAGTTGCTAAGAGAGTAGATCTTTAAAATTCTCATCCCCTAAAAAGCTAACTATGGAGGCAATGGATGTGTCAACTAATCTTGCTGTGGTAATCATTTTGTAGTGTGTACATATAGCAGGTCATCATGCTATACACATTGAAAATGCATACTGTTCTATGTGAATTACACCTCAGTAAAGCTGGAGAAAAGAGATGCTGACTTAATGGCTGAGAGAAGTTATTTAAAAAATAATAAAATAGTATTTGTCAGACATTGAGAAATTGAAAATTTTCAATATATGCCCACTCCACGGGCTTATTTTGTTTGGATTTTATCATTTTTATGCTAAAATGTTATAGTTACAAAGATATGAGGTTTTATTAATTTTTTCATATTTGTATAAGATATCATGTATATTTTTACATGTATGTATATTTGCAGTTGCATATCTTAGATTCTGGCAATTTGATATTTTAACTGATACACTTCGTATAAAATTCTGTAATGTTCTCATTCCTCCACTAGAGAGCACTCTGTACACACAGTTAACAGCAATTAAGCTTGGGCAGTGGATAGTCGTCCCCAGCCAGGGCTCTTTATCGTAAAAGATTAGTAACTTAATCTCAACAAGTACATTTCGACCTTGATTATAGTTTCTCTTTTATTTTCTGCACCAGAAATTATAGACTTTACAGGACCTCAAAAACAAAAATCACCTTGACCAAGAAAATGTAGTGGTCATCCTTCAAAAATAATTATAGTTCAACTACATAAAACAGAGGTTCTTCATATTTTATTGGGCTAACTAAGCAATACTCATATGGTTCAAAATGTACAAAAAGCATATATCATGAAGCGTCTCTCCTAATCCTTTCTCCACTCTTTTTATACAAACCACATTTATTCACACTGTTTGCTTATCACAGTGTCGTGTGTGTGTGTATGTGTGTGTGTGTGTGTGTGTAACTCAATATATTTTGAAGACCATTCTTTCTCAGTACATAAAGGACTTCTTCATTCTTGTTTATGGCTCCATAGTATTCCATTGCATGGATGTATTGTACTTCACTTTTCTAGTCTTTTATTATAACCATTTAGTTTTTCCCAGTCTTCGCTATTTCAAATAATGCTGCAGTGACTAAGGAAGTGACTAAGGAAGCCTGTTAAAGAGCTGCAAGGACAGAGGCTTTTCTTGGTAGCCTCCCTTTCCCAGGCAAAACCACTTAGCACATCAGGAATGTCTTTGAATGTCTTAGAACACTGCTGAAGATCGCTGCTGACTTTCCTTCCCTCTTTCCCTACTGAGCACCACTTATATTTTGTGTTGTGGTCTCTCCTTTAGGGATTTCCTCATCCCACTTGCTCCTAGCTGCCCAGATTCCTGGGTTGTTTTCAACATCACAGGGACTCCTGATTTGTTGTGATTACCTTCTCTTCCCTATTTCCCTGTTACCTCTTTTGATTTGAAACTTCCACCTTCGTCGCTCCTGCAGCAGGTTCTTCAGCAAAGATGGGTTTGAAGTGAGCACGAGTTCTTTTTTATTAAAAAAAATAAAGTGTTTTATTTTTTTAATGCAAAAGGATAAAGAAGATAAAGTTTGCCTGTCATCTTATCACCCAGAAATGTCTGCTGCATAGACTTTGGCACATAGGTTCTCATCTTTATAATGAATATGTGAGTATAATTACACCTGTGTATACTACATCATCATTTACATCTTCTGCATATGTAATACTGACCCTGCTATTGCATTAATATTATAAATCTTATAGACATTTTATTTTGCCATTGAAATTCCTTGTAAACATTAATTTTAATGATTTGTATATTTATTTGCACGAACCATAATTCACTTATTTTTTCTTTTAAACACAAAATATAGGGTTGGTGTTGTTAGTACCGACCCTACATTTTACATTTAATATTATAAATCTTATAGGATTTTATCTTGCCATTAAAATCCTTTATAAACTTCATTTTAGTGGTTTGTGTATTTATTTCCATGAACCATAATTCACTTAACTTTTGTTATTGGGTTGGCCAAAAAATCCATTTGTTTTATTCTGTAATTTGGCTCTAGAAATGCTTAGTTATCTTTAACTTCATCAAAAAATTTTTGTTAGATTGTATTGTGACAGCTGCCATATCCACGTGCCTTTTTTAAAAAAAATCAAAATTGGTGAATTTTTGTGTAGCCATTTTAATATTGAGGATGGAAGAAAATATACAACATTTTTGGCATATTATGCTTTATTATTTCAAGAAAGGTAAAAATGCAACTGAAATGCAAAAAAAGACTTGTGCAGTGTATGGAGAAGTTGCTGTGATGAGCGAATATGTCAAAAGTGGTTTGCAAAATTCTGAGCTGGAGATTTCTCACTGGACAATGCTCCATGGTTGGGTAGAGCAGTTGAACAGCGATCAAATCAAGACATTAATTGAGAACAATCAGCATTATACCACATGGGAGAGAGCTGACATACTCAAAATATCCAAATCAGTAAAGTTATTAGTGAAAATGAAAAATCTGCCTTTTATTTTACAGAAAAAATAAATGAACTTTTTGGCCAACCCAGTAAATAAAGCTGCTATCAGCATCTCGCGAGCACACATTCCGGGTTAAGTCAGGGTTCTCCTGGTCATTGGGTTTCCCAGCTGAGCATTATTGGCTGCCTTCTCTTTGGGATGATTTTTCCCAGGTCTGTGTTACTCTCTCCGCCCCCAATTTCATTTTGTCATGAGCTAGGGAAGGCTGTTTTGAAAGTCACCTAGCATTTTACGTGTTAAAACGGGATCAAGGTAAATGGTTAGGGAGTACATGAACTTTTATTGTGTGGTATTATGTGCTTGGAGCGTTATGTGTGTTCTTTCATTTAATTCTCAAAATGACCTTGTGTGAGATGGTTTCATGTTCTCACGTTCTCATTTTAAAGATGAGGAAACTGAGGCTCAGGGAGGATGTGTAACTTGTTGAAGGTCCCCTAGCCAGTAAAGAACAGAGCCAGGATTTGAATTCAGGCATGCCTACCTCTCCTTTAATAGAGAGAAGTTTTAGTAATTGGATTGGATTGTAAAACTGTTTGGTAGATGCCAAAGCAGTGCTGTACTCGTAATATGGCTCTTTGGAATACAAAACAAAACTTGATTTTCTTTGTGTTTGCCAGTTTCCATGGTATAAATACTCCTGCCATAGCTGATTTCAAGCTGCCAATGATTTTACCGTCCCTTATAAAATTCCTGGATATTTAACAATCAGTGCAACTGGATACACGATGTTCCTTCCTACCACTAGGCTAAAGGTCAAATAACCCAGACACGTGTTTTCTGCACTCATTTCTAAACGAGGCAACCGTATACATCTATAAAGTCCTTCTAAAATTCAGGTTTTCGTGACATCCTTAAGGGTCTCTAATGTTTAGTTAGTATTAGGCAACATATTTCCCACTATTGAGATTTCTTTCACACGTGAGTGTTTGTGACTGGCTCTGGGACTCCAGTCTTTCTCAGGGCCCAATAATTCAGATCAAAAGACAGGCTAGGGATAAATTGTTAGGATGTGGTCAGAGATACAAAGTTAATTCACCGTATCTGTGCTTTGTAGATTAGACTACCATCCGAATATGTAATTAGAGCCTGCTATAAACATGGTTTTAATCAACGATGGGACTAGGTGGGTAGGGAAAATATGGAGGACTTTCCGGCACCACCAGGGGAAAAACCACTTAACAAAATCCAAGTAATTTCGCAGAAATGGAATAAACTGTTTCCATACTCGGCAGTGGCTTCAGGAAAACAGCGGAGTCCGTTATCTCTTTTCACGGCCCGGGGCCTGCTGCACCTGCACATCTCCACCAGTGGGGGGCGCTGTGTGGCGTCGGAGTCACTGCTGAAGCCCCCAGCAGCCTACCTAATACCGCTACTGTTACTAGACTAATTAATCTTTATATATGAGTGACTGGAAGAGGGACCTGGGGATGATCTATACTTCTGGAGGTGCCTTTTGGAGGCATGAGAAACAGAGAGGTGAGCAGCTATCTTTGGATACTTAGTCCTGGCTGGAGGATTTGCTGGGCCTGGTCTGATGTGTAGGGAAGTCTCTATCCTTCCACCAAAGTGGGAGGTATTCCCACTCTGTTGGTAGCCGATGAAGTATGACGGTCCCCTCATCACTGTCATTCTCATCATGAGAAGCCTCCGTATTAAAAGAGGAGTTCAGTGAACTCTGGCTGGATTTTTATTTCAAGAGTATTTCCCCAGTACATGCTGATGTAGACAGTGGGGTGGTCGTACATAGTCTTTGGATGCAAGCACGATCTTATTGTTTCCACTAGGGCAGTGCTTTTCAACTGGTGTGCCCCAAGAATTTATAAAACATGCAATACCTGACCTCGTTTCCCTTAGATTTTCAAATAAAAAAATGACCACAGCCAACAGAACAATAGCTGTCTGGCGTGAATGAATGAAAATAATACCTCTGGATTTTGGGGGTTTTTTTTTGTCAGATTGGCAAAAACCATATGCTTGGGTGCAGCAGAATTTTAGTAGTTTATGTGTGTCATGAGGTGAAAAAGGGTGACAATCGCTGCATTAGGGAGTGGTGAGGGTGAAAGAAAGGACTGAAGTTTGTCTCATCTTACCTTTCCTACCTGGATATGCATCTGTGTTCAAGACAATACCACCACGTTGCAGGTATCACCCAAGCAGCTACCGCCTCTCATAAATACCCTGTCATTTCTCTGGGCTTCCTCTGAGTTGACCCAGGATGACTACAATCTGCTTTCCATCGTCTTAAAGGTGTGGCTGATTCGTGCTTGTCCTCAGGAACCCCCGCCCCCTCTCCTGTTACACCTCGACCTTGTTTTTTTAAGGAAAAGAAGTGGGGAGAAAGACGTGGGCCTCGACTCAAATACCCCTGGGGCTTTGTGGATTGCCGTTCTCATTCGCTGTCCAGTGCAGCGGTGCCTAATCTGTGCTGTGGAAGCTGGGTTTCCTTGCTCAGTGAAGGAACAGTTTTTCCATACTGCTGATAGTCTGCATGTCTTATTTCCTAGATCATAGCAGTGGAAAAGTGCAGCCATGCCCTTGACTTTATTGCTTTTGTCCAGCTGTGAGAAACATCCTCATCTGCTTCCCGAATCCTTTATTAGTGCTAAATCCCCAAATGGACTAATTCCTTTCTCTCTTCAAAAACATCACATTTTGATAGTAGAAAATGCAGAGTGGTGGGTGTGGCGTTTTGACCAAGGGGAGCAATCAGGGCCTGGTTTCTGCTTGCAAAGTGCGTAGTCCAGTTGAAAGGGACGCGTAATCATTTGGGAGATCAAGTCTGCTCTGCCTCTTGGCTCCCTGGGCTTTTTCATCATCTGGATGCCAGATAAAATACAGATGTTCCGAGCTAGAAACACCGCGCCAGACTATTTCCCCCTCGGCCTGCACTGCCTCTTACATGCCTGAATGGCAGACAAACTCGTTTTCAGCATTTTGGTTCAACTATAATTCACGGAAGATATCCCAGTCTGGACTGAATGATTTTCCTCCCAGCTCTGTCTCTGAAATCGGCCTGTGTTCTCCATGGCCTTCAGATGCTGGATCTCTGATGGTCTCCGAGATGCTCTTCCTTTGTCCCATACGCAGTGCTGTCGTAGAAGACAGCAGCCACAGATGTCCTTCCTCTGAAACTCAGCAAGAGCCCTAGATCTCTCGCTCTCTCCAGCCTTTGGAAGACACGTCCTGAGCAGACCTCCTTTCTGTGGCTGTGGCTTCTGCACTGGAATGACCTTTTAAACAAATCCTTGCCTTGAAACAGAACAGAGAGCGTCTCTTGTTTTCAGAAGGGTCTCTGCATTGAAAGTGAATCAGGTTTTCCGAGCAGGGAGAGGATTTTGTTTTCTGACAGCCTTAGACATGAAGAGGCCACAGAAGTTTGTGATCACCTTGCAAGAAAGCTTTGACTGAGGCTCAGAGGGGAGGAGGCCTATTCTGAAGACTCAGGCAGGAATGAATGCGTACAGGCCTTCAGTGTTGGAGTCTAAGCTCCCACATTCTTCCCCCCGCCCGCCACAACTGGAGAGGGCAGCTTTTAAAAGGCAAGCTTGAATGATGGCAATTTCTAATAATCCACCCAGACAGATCAGCTGCTTCAGCTCAAGTTCCAACACTGGAGCAGCTCTTCCTTGCCTCACTGCAATAGACTACCCTACTGGCAGTTTCCTTTACCTTAATGAAGAGATACATGAATAATAGAAGCTATTCTGAAATCTTCAAGAAAATGGAGTCAGGTCATTTCTCTCTATGACCCTCTTTACATGCTCAGAAGTCTGCTTCACTCTGGTGGATACTCACGTGGCCAGACCGATTATAAATTACTCTTTGGGTTTTCCCTCCTGGCCACATGCCAGCTACAGCCTCCTTTCCTCTCTGGCCTCGAGCATCAAAGACCCAATCTTGATTCTCATTCCAAGCTTTTGTTTCACTGCCTTGCCTTCATCTCTTGGTATCCCCCAAGCAAGGGTTAAAGAGGGAGGCCGAGAGGGCAGCTAGACACCTGCGATCTCTCTCAGGAGACACATACCTTTTTAGAACTTACCTTCCAGCCGAGCTTGGGCGGGGTCCACACATGTCCCCTGCAGCAGCTGCAGCCGTGCTCGGCAGCTGCTGCACTCATTGTGGCCAGGGCCGGCGCAGGTCTCACAGGCTCGGTGGCAGGGCTCACATTCGCCCGTCTCTGGGTCCCCGTAGAAGCCAGGGCCACATTCCCTGACACAGCTGCCACCTAGGGAGGAACACAGAGAGGAAGCATGAAGGCGGGACCCTGGCGGGTTTAGCTCAATGCTCCGTGCGGGGCCAAGTTCTAAACAGGTCCAAGGGAAGCTCAGGAACATTTTTGCTTGAATTTGTTTTAAAAGAGACCAGGATGTTGTTAGCTTATTTCAACTAAGAGATGCGCCTTTAAAAATCTGACACCGAAAGCCCTCTTTTAACTAAGAATTTAAATTGGTTATCTGCTCAAAGGGTTAAGATCATAGAATAAAAAACCTGACATTCTTGAGGCCTTGAGAAACTACAGATAAAAGGAATCTCTGATAGAGAACAATGGGAGGTCATGTTGGGCTTTCTGACCCCTTGTCTCCCACAAGCATTCAAGAGCTCTGGACTAGCGGTTCTTTAATTGGAAGACTCACAGTATATCTCTTTCCTAACCATCCATTTTCATCAAAGTCAGCGACAAAGGATCAAAACCCAAGACAAAGGATCTTGATTAACTTTTACAGTGCTCAGGAATGCATAACATAGGTTACGTCTCCAGGAAGGCAGCATGGTTCTGGGTGTCCCAGGTGACTTAGATTCCAAAGCACTGTCTTCAGTGTCCCCCTGTCCCCCACATTCACTCTGGCTTCCATCAGTTTGGAGGTGTTTCAGATTAATTTGTGAAATAGGAACTATGCTCCAGTAACAGAAACGGAAGGAAGTTATCCTGGCTAATGTTTACTTTCAAATCAAATGAACATTTCTGCTCGGAAGAGAGGCACCAGCGCACGCAGACCCTGAAGCCAATCACACAGCTCCTTGATCTCTGTGTGGCGCTCTGGGGCTGCGATTTGCTTCGTCGATGCCATTTCCAGGCTTACCCAAGACAAAGAAGCCGTCTTCACACCAGTAACACTTGTTCTGGTTACAGTTGCAGCAGTTGGCGTTGCACGCTTTGCATTCAAATCCTTCACTGTAGGTCTTCTCAGGACAGACTTTGTAACAGTGGTGTTTAAACCTGGGGAGAAGATAGGCTTTCTTCCATGAGCTATATTGATGTATTTTTCTTAACCACCATGATTTAATCTCCTTACGCATGCCTACACATAGTTTTTAATAGGCGTAGATATTTGGGTTTTGAGAGCAAAAACTTCTTCTTGGCCTTTATGTGCCTTCCAAACAGGTCATAAACCACCGCCCTCTGGACAGCTCAGAGAGGCTGGGGAGAAGAAGGAGGTGCTAATATTTATTTATGGAGTACTGATTATATGTCAAGTATTAGCTTATTTAAACCTCCACGCAATCCCCTTGTGGTAGCTACTACTTATCTTTAATTTCCAGATCAGGGAACTATGTCTCAGGGTTAAGTGCTCAAACCACATAGGTTAAAGGTGGGATTGGGATTTTAATCAAGGTCTGTTCAAACGGACAGTTTGTGTGCTTTTGCCACATGGCACTCGCAAGGTCTGAATAGTTTAGTGTGACAAGATTAACATCCACACTGAAGTGCCTTAGCTTTTATGTATACACACCCTTACACATACTGTCCATTATTCTCATGCTACAGTAGAACACTTCACTGAATTACAGGCTCATGTGAAGTGGGAGTGGAATGAAGCAGATTTTTGCCCTTTGGTGAATTTTGTAGCATCAACAAGGTATCAGAGGCAGGCTTTGCATATCTTCCATACCAACCTCTGTTGTAGAGTGGTTTTTAAAAAAATTTTCTTTATTGTTCAAATACATTTGTCTCCATTTTCCCGCCACCACGTTCCCCTGCCCCAGCCACCCCCACCTCCCACCCTCAATCCTTCCCCACTTTGGCTTTGTCCGTGGGTCCTTTATACATGTTCCTTGATTTGACCCTTCCCCTTTTTGTAGAGTGTTTTATTAGCTGTATTTAAAGTCACTAAGTATTCTAAAAGGTTATAAATGTGTGCTCCTAGAAATAAATATCACGCGCTTTACCCTTAGTGATATTGGGAATGTCCTTTTTAGTGTACAGTAGGCCCTTACTTAACATGGTTGATAGGTTTTGTGACTTCAAGTGAAATGATATATAATGAAATAGGCTAATTGATAGAAACAAGATTTAAGTTCCAGTGGCATCTCATCAATGTTATAATGAAATGACATTGAACAAAATGATGTTATTCTAGGATCTGCTGTTTTTGTTTCTGAAAGGGTTTCATGAACGATGCTCATTCATGGGCAGTGCTGAGCTGGAGAGGCTGACGAGGCAGGCTCCAAACTTCAGCAGAGGGTGCTCTTAGGTGACAGAGGAAGTTGGTGCAGGTCAAGGGGTATCTTCTGGTGTCAAAAATGAAGAAGGGTAGAGTTAGGCTGGAGGGACACAGAAGTCACCCACTTCTGCATGGTCACTGTTCCTTTGGATTTAAGTCCTCCTTCCTCAGTCCTTTGGGGAACAGTCTGTGCCCCCAACCATGTGACTTCATCAAGGAATGCTTGCATTTATGCTGTTCATCTCTGCTTGGGGTGTCTCTGGCAGGCCAAATGCTCGGTAAATGCCAACTATGAACATGCTGACAAATTCCTTTCTGCTCATTTACTGTCATCTGGCCTACCTTCTAATAATCAAGTCTGGGAGCCTGTTCCCCAGCCCTACCCTCTTTTAAAATGGAGCAATAATTTAAATCAGTAGGTCAGGAGTGCAATAATGTAGAGACACAGTCAATGCAGAGAATAATAGGCCACTCTGGAGAATTTGAATTAAAACCATAAGGTTAAGTAATGATAAGGTTAACTGGTCATTTTTGATATATTTCAGCCTCTTGGGTTTCCCTTGCCTTCTTGTCCACCTCGCCCCTTTTAATGTCTTCCTGCCCACTGCCACATTTCAAGCCTCTTGGAATCAAGCCCATTAAAGTTGAGGTGAGCCAAATATAACCCCTCTCCGTACTACTAGCCTGTGGGGCATCATGAGAGAACCCACAGCCTCTCTGAGCTTCATTTTTTCTTTTCGGGCAAATAACATCGATGCTGTGTTCCTGACAGTGTTTTTGGAAGGGTGAAGAGAAGAAACAAATGTGAGAGTTTGTTTATCATAAAACTCTTCAATTCTTAGATGATAGGGAAGAATAATGCAGCCTATGCATTATCTGGGCCTTCCTTTTCCTTTCACCTCCCTTTTCTTTTCCCCTCCTTTTTCTTTTCCTAGCTTTTCTTCCAACATAGGCACCAATGTACACTGGAAGGGAGACTAGAGTGGGAAGGCGAGGTGACATTGAGACATGCCATGCTTGCTTTGTAGATTTGAATTGGAGAGCTTTGTGGGTGACAGTTGTCTGTGTTTCATTTAACCTAGTGGTCTGTGTCTTTCATGACCCAGGGAATGACTGAGAGCTAATGCAGCACCTGACTTCATCCTGGACTGTCCAACTCTTGTTAAGGACAGTCTCCACGCAGACATCTGGAAACAACTTGCCTGGGGTTGGGTCTATGATTAAGGCCTGTCCAGAACCAGCAAGGTCTGAATCTTGGTCACCCATGGCAAGATTCCTAGACATCAGTGTCAGGTTGGGTGCCTTCCAGGACCAAGAAAGAGAAGGCCTTCTTTACAGGCAAGAAACAGCTGGGCTCTTACTGCTAAATCCAAGGATTGTTCATTAATAGCCTGACAGGGCAGAGTTGCTTCAGGCTGCAGGGCCTCTTTCCTTTTATCACTAAATTAGGATTAAGTCAGCAATGCTTCAACTGCAGAAAAGTTAGTACTATGAAAAAGAAGGCAACACTTACATGTAATACCCCGTAACACATGATGTGCAGGTTCCTGGATCATCTGGAAAAAAAATATAAGGATGAAAATAATCACGAAGAGTTCAGCATTTGGAACAATGGGCTTTGGAAAAGTTGTGGCTTGAGACAATCTTTTGGGATAGTTTTGTGAAATGTACTGTCCAGAAATGGTATTTGAACAGATGGTACCATTTTTAACTAGTACCAAGCTGTATGCTACGATTTATCTTTATCAAAACTTGTAAAGTAAAAGTTCTCACAGATACTTGGCCCTGACTTTCAAGGAGGAAAAGAGGCAAGCTACTGGGCCTTCAAATTGCAGACCAGGAACCATCCACTTTGAGAAACTCCTGGTCTCTGGAGAGGTAAAGACATCAAGCATATCCACACACATACACACTCTAAAAGGGGCTGCAGGCTTTGAACCCTGAGCAGTGGGTTTCCCATGAGTTACCCTAAATGCCTGCCAGTGTGAAGGATTGCTATCTGGGAGGTTCCTTTGAAGTTTGGACAATTGTTTTCTTTCCCATACAGTGTCCTCTTTGGGTTCAATACTTTACAGCCCTCTTACAGAAACTTTCCCATTCTCCTTAGGTATAATGACTCAATGTTTCCCTGTTGGCTCAGAGGAGGACTCTTTCCTACAGCTTTCAGGGGACTTAATGAGGGAGAAAGGACTTTGAGAATCACTGACTCAGTCTATTTCCCTCCCTTCAAACCCTCCCTTAAACATGTCAACCCCCAGATCCAGTTATTAAGAGAATTCTATGATTTTTTCTGGTTTTCAAATATTGGGAGTAACAGTTACCTCTAGCAAGTTTTGTTTGTGTTAAATCTGTTATACTCTAGTCTTGTTCTTTTCATTATAATAGGAGATGAAAAACAATTGCTCCTCTTTAAAACATTCCTCTTGGTCCATGAAGATTTTATGTCACCTTTAACTTTTTAAAAAGATTCTCTTTGAACTTTCCTTTCAGATCTACCCTAGGCTTTATTTTGATTTCACAAAGTCTGCCCTTTGGTAGAGCCTCACCCAAATCTTTAGCCAGACATTCATCTTGGGTCCTTCTAGGGATACTGTAAAGACAACACTATTGTGTATTGCACATAGTACAACTAATACATTGCACCAAAAGCTATAGTGGAAACATTTTCAGAAGAGGCTCTGCCATTTACACAGGATCTCCACAACTTTCTGGAAATAGCCCAATGATCTTGCAGCGGAGAGGGTGCTGGCCTGGGAATTGGGCGACCTCTTTCTAGTTTGAACTTTTAACCCTGGCTTAACTGTCTTGAGAACTCACATAAACTTCGCTCTACTTCCTGGGTCTTGATTTCTGCAGCTGTAAAATGATCTGATTAAATAATATGGTTGCAAATTCTTCCCAAAAGTCAAAGATTCTGAAGTTGAAACTAGCAGAAGTTGGCAAACTTTGGCCAACTCTGGGGCCAGATCTGGCCATGCCCTTTTGTTTGCATATTGTGTGTGAATACTTACATGCTACAATGTCAGAGTAGAGCAGTTGAAGCAGAGAGAGAAAATATTTACTACCTGCCACTTTACAGAAAAATTTTGCTGGCCCCTGGCTAGAGCACCATTGGTCATGATGCCCACCTTTGTTAGATAACACAGGTATAAATGTTCTTAACAGCTGGCCCTGGAGTTCCTCTTAGGGAGAAAACTGTCTATATTTAGGAAAATAACTTGTACAACCCCTTGGGGTAGAGGTTGAATTGGATGGATTGAACAAGAGCCAAGACAGCCAAGGAAAGAGCAAGACCCTCTTGCAGGAGGTCATGACTTGCTCATGGGGGAGGGGGGAATGGTTTCCATGTCTGGGTCAACATGGTTTGTGATAGAGTGACTAGAGCAAGACAGTGGAATGAACCATAAGCCAGGCTAGTTAAGTAGAATAAGGAATCTAAAACTAGAGGTACCATGACAAAGAAAAACTCATTGGAATTCTGCGAATTCTTGGGGAGGGCTTTCTGCTTCTACAGTCCATGGTTTGGGGATCTGAATCCATTTTAAGGGGGTTGCAAAGGCCCCAGTGAACACTAGTGGTTCCACGGGGTAAGTTTATTTCCTGCTATGAGTCTGTGTTTGCATCTATATTCTTTTCAGTTCTCCTCTTAAGTAAGTGGCTACTACTCAGTTTGCATCTGGACAACTTACTTTTCCCTCTCCTGTCCCTGATGAACATACTTCAACAGTTTTGCTAATTTGTCAAGGGCTGGGAAATTCTAATCCTGTTCTCCAATGCTTTGGCCATCCCTCCCATCTAGGAACTTAATGAGTTTGCTCTCTGTTCCTTTGAGCAGGTCAACTGATGAAAATGTTAAATGGAACCAAGCCTCAGAAATATGCATCCAGTGTAATCTCGAGTCCAGACACTTTTCCAGCCCAGTTGCACAGTGAATTTTGTAGCTTCACAACAGTTTGCATAAATGAATAATGCATAGGACAGGAACTGTCTTGTAACAGCTTATGAAATCCCATTAGTCTTTCTCATTATTACTAGTTTTTCAAAAGAGGAAGAATTATTTTGTAAAAAATTTCTACCCCAGAAGACCCACAAGTCAGACATAAACTAAATGGATTTATCTTGACCATTGAGAGGAAGCTCTTTTGGGACTAAGGAGAAGTAACAATCCCAAACCTAGAAGTTGACTCTAAGTCAAGTTAGCATTTGGATGGTAAGAAGGGGTGGGTTAAGTTGAAAGATTCGTGTGTGTGTGTGTGTGTGTGTGTGTGTGTGTGTGTGTGTATGTGTGTGATACAGGGGTGGGGTGAGGAATGGAAGAGTCTAAACAAGCTAGAATTGTTAACTGTCTTGAAAAGTGTTATCCAAAGTAGGATGTTTAAATAGGTCTGGTTATTTGATCTTGTCAAACTTTTGAGCTGAGAGAGCATAGTCTGAGGAGGGAGGGGGCAAGTTCAGTCGGAATTCGGAAAAAGCCTCGCACGTTCGGAAGAAAGCCTTTAGAAACAGTTTCTGGTGTCCAGCTGCTCACATCCCCACTAAGGAGAACGTGTGTGCAGATGCCTTTTCAGGATGGGGCATGGGGATACAGTCTGTCTTTCTTGAGAAAATTCATTTTTATGGTTTCATTTTTATGGGGTGGGAAGGGCAGGGCTACCATGTCCACTGCGTCTAGAAAGGTCTCCGTGATCCCCTGCATCACCTTTCTCCTGTTTCCTTGGTGATCTTCACTGCTGGAACTCATCGCAAAGTCACTGTCCTCAGGGAGACATTGGCTTTGTGGTCAACACCACCTTCAGGGGTCAACTGACAAGAAATACCCATAGCCCTCACCATCGACTGTGGATGGACCAGAGCTGCATTAGGAGTTAATGCGCATCTTACTCACAAACTATATTAGAAAAGGGATATTTTTAAATTTGAGGTGAAACTGAATATTTAAAAAATGTCCAGAGAACAATGATTTTTTTTAAGTTTACATAAACTTCGAGTCACACAATTAAAGAGACATATAATCAAAAATGACTCTATTTTGCTTTTTTTCTAAATATCCTGCTCTTATTGCATGTTTATTTTTCATTTGGAGGAGAGAGAAGAAACTTAATGTCTGAAGAGTAGCCCTTTATCGTATAATAAATACCTAGATATGCCAGAATTAGCCACAGATTAGATACATTATGTAGGCAAAACTGATTGTCTGCAAAACTGTGCGGAAGTGTTAATGTTGGGGTGCGCCTACCTTAGCTTTGGTTATTTATTTCAAGATTCATTTTGAGGTTTATAGCTCTTTCATTCATATCCCATGCTAGCCGGGCACCCCTCTACCATGGCCTATTGAAACTTATCTGTGCTACTATCCATTTTTGCAAAGACCTTCTAGGTTACTGCCCAGGCTACTGACTGAAGGGCATGTTAAACCTGTGCTCTTGGGAGGCTCCTGGGCTCTTACCTACCTCAGTCCCTTCTCAGGTGTCCTAGACCCATGAGGCTCCTTTTATCTTGACCTCTTGGGGGCACAGCTGTAAATGTTTCGTAAAAACCTTTAGTACCTTATTGTACTAAAGTCATGTACTGAAGTTATAGAGGGTTGTGGAAAGGTGGAAAAAGTGGATTCTAGTCATATCATTCCAACACATTCACTCATATATATATTTTCAACCTATCTCCCAACCAAAAAGTGCTAGGTGAACAAGTTAATTAGAAAACACATACTCTGTCTATAAAGAAGGAGGAGCTAGAAGCCAAGCTCAGGGAGTCCTTATGTACATGCAGATGAGTGAACCCATCAGAGAGTCATTCCTTCCATTTATAAGGAACCAGATGTGAAAACAATTTTTGGAAAGTTAGTATATGAATTCAGTAGCTCAGATAAAGCATTTCGGTTAGGTATGGCCTGAGTAACTGGTCTCCAAAGAGAAATGTGCAAGACAATTCATTGGGCTACAGAAGAAACAGAACTTATGTTTCATTTATTTTTGTTATCTTCTTAAATTTTCTACTTCAGCATATCTTTTTAATATATGTAAAATATTCATGCACCAGTACATATAAATAATTTACACACACATATATATGCAGTGCAGGCATATGCTAGTTTTTAAAAAACCAATGGGGTAATCAGAAAAGTATGAAAATTACAGCTTTAGATTTCTGTTATCATGGGGCCTGGAGAGTTCCTGGGGCTGGAAACCTGTGAAGTATGGACAGAGCCATCATTTTGGTCTGATACTTGAGAGGCATTGGGAAGGCCAATAAAGCCCCAAGTTTGGTTGAGCCCAGGATATAGGTGATTGGACCTGGGAAGGTGATTGAGCAAAAAGGCTGAGACCATCTGGGAAAAGCCGGGTACGCTGACTTATGGTAAGGTGGGTGCTGTTTTATGATAGATATGAATGGATGTGTTTGAATGATATGACTAGATTCCACTTTTCCCACCACCCTCTATAGCTTTAGTACATAAATTTGTTCCCCAAACAAACTACCTAGATGAACATAACCTCTGGTCATGTCTCTATGAAAGACAACCTGAAGGTTCATCTATTAGAAATAGATTTTAAAA